CCCCACCCCCACCCCTACCCCTACCCCTACCCCTACCCCTACCCCTACCCCTGAAGAAGGGTCTAGGCCCGAAACGTCAGCCTTCCTGCTCCTCTGATGCTGCTTGGCCTGCTGTGTTCATCCAGCTCTACACCTTGTTGTCTCAGATTCTCCAGCATCAACAGTTCCTACTATCTCTGTAATTATTTTGGAAGGTGTTGAGCTTCTTGACTGTTGTTGCAGTTGCACTCATCCAGGCAAGCTGAGCATGCTCTGCCGTTTTAGCTGGGATTTTTTTTTCCTTTATTCATTCACAGAATTTATTGCCCATCCCTATGTGCCCAGAAGGCAGTCCAGAGTCTGGAGTCACATGTAGGCCAGATCGCTTCCCTAAAGGATGTTAGTGAGCCAGATGGGTTTTTCTGACAATTGGCAATGGATTCACAGTCATCTTTAGATTCTTAATTCCAGATATTTATTGAATTCAAATTCCACTATCTGCCGTGGTGGGATTTGAACCCAGGTCTCCAGAACATACCTGGGTCTTTGGATTAACAGTCCAGCAATAATACCACTAGGCCATTGCCTCCCCTGGTTTCATACACAATAGTTAGGAACATAGGAATTAGGAGTGGGAGTAGGCAATTCAGCCCTTTGAGCTTGCTTCGCTATTGAACACGATCATGGCTGATTTTAACCTGGTCTCAACTCCACTTTACTGACTGCTCCCCACAGCCTTTTATCCTTCTTTTCGTCAGAAACATAATTCTTGAAGGGTCTAGGCCCGAAACGTCAGCCTCTCTGCTCCTATGATGCTGCTTGGCCTGCTGTGTTCATCCAGCCCTGCACCTTGTTGTCTAGGATTCTCCAACATCTGCAGTTCCTACTATCTCTAAACTTGTCTGCTGATTGATTCTGCCTTCACTGCACTCTGAGGCAATCAGTTTCACAGTTTCCCAACCCTTTGAGAGAAGTAGTTTCCCCTCATCTCAGTTTTGAACCTCGTTCCTCTCACTCTATACCTATGACCTCTTGTTCAAGACTGTCCCACAAGGGGGAGTATCTGTTCAGCATCCACCTTATGAATCCCTTTTAGTGTTCTCCATATCTTAATCAGATCCCCTCTCATTCTTCTGAACTCCAACAAATACAAGCCCAAGCTCTTTAACTGTTCCTTGTACCAGAGCCCTTTCATCCCTGGAATCAACCTGGTGAACCTCCTCTGAACTGCCTCCAGTACTAGCACATCCTTACTCCAGTAAGGAGACCAAAACAGGACACAATATTCCAGGCATGGTCTCACCAATGCCTTATATAATTGTTACAACACTTCTTTACATTTATAATCCAGTCTGTTTGCAGTAAATGCCAGGCTTCCATTCGCCTTTCTTAGTATATTTTGTTCTCTGGTATTTCATCTAAGGAGTTATTATTTATGAAACAGCCTTGAAATTGACAGGCTGCATCCCACCCTAGACCGAGTTGGTCTCATATGTCTGCCCATGTGCATTTGCAGTAAAGGTTGCTGAAGAGCTGATTCTATTTTCTGTGTGATCTGAGACTTTGAAGGCCAAGTCCAGTGCCTCAGCTGCTGTCCTGGTCCCTGCAGTTCACCTGTACATTGGATAAACACCATTGTTGGCAGACAGATTGTCAACCACACTTCAGCATTTACAGAACTGACATGTTCCAAGTGCCAGCCCATTTTCATTTTGAGCTAATTGCTCAGTGTTGCAAAAGTAGTGAAACTACTGAGCCTTCCAGTGTCCTTGTGGGTCACGGGAGCTTTGTTTGGGGTTGGAGAGGGGGAAGCAGTTGTTGTTGTTGCTTTCTCATTGCACATAAACATTGAGTAGTGAACAACCAGGCCATTCTAAGGTTGCTCGCAGTGAGCTCTGATCATGGGCGGAGAGCGGTTTGCAGGGAATGTTGAACCCTCTGAGAGGCCCTGAAGGAAAGGGAAAACCGTTGGTGCGAGGGGTAATGAATGAAATGTTAAGGTTAATGTCTTTCTGTTTCAGTCTGCACCACAAGAGACCAGGGAGCGCAAGTCTGTGACAGTCGAGGAACATCCGTCATGTGTGTATCTTTATACTGAGGACGACACAGATGAAGTCTATGGAGCGCCTCAGATCAAGCATGTGGGAACTATTTTCGAGGAGGCGAAGCAGGAGCTCCTGAAACTACTGCGTATTGAGGTGGAGATCTATTACTTCTTACTGACCATAAGACGTAGGTACAGGAGTAAGTCATTTGGCCCATTTGAGTTTGCTCCACCATTCAATGTCATCACTGTCATGCAGATACAGAAAACTTTGAAGTATTATCGACTGTTGCAAGGATATTGATGAGCTTCATTGATTTAGGCAGAATCAGTTGAAACCTTAAGAGCAGAATTGGATAATAATCTGAAGGGAAACAGTTTGCAGGCTTATGGGGAAGGGGTCTAGAGAATGGAAATGCTCCTGTGGAGAGCCAGCAGAAACTTAACAGCTTGAAACACCTTTCCTGCTGTAACCAACCTCTGATTGCTGCTATTCATGTTTTAGCTCCTCAAACGATTCCTCTATGTTGCCTCCTCTGGTGTACCTATGGTTCCGTTCTTGCCTGCCTTGTCATTACATGCTTTTGATTTGTGTTCTGACAGTCAAGCTCATGGTCCGTTTTCACATGTGAGGTGCCTATGCTTGGCTCTACCCAGCTACATCTCCAATTGACCCAATGGCTGTTAGTACTTGTGCAACAACAAGTCAAAGGTTTCTCATGCTTTTAATGCCACAAGCCTGCATTGATCCTTTTCTCGGCTTGCACTTGCAGACTATTCGTCTCTCATTCCAGTTGCCCTTTTGACTCAGAAAGGTCAGGCTTTTGTGTGTAGGTTGATACCAGTGAACCACTGAGCCTGGCCATCCCAAGGGCTTGCCCATTTGAGACGGATGAGGAGAAATTGCTTCACTGATGGTGGTGAATCTGAGGAATTCTTTACGACGTAGAGCTGTCAGGGCTGGATGGTGAAGTATTATCAAGGCTGAGATGGACAGATTTTTATGGGGAAAAGGCAGGAAAGTGGAGTTGACAATTATCAGATCAGCCATGACCTCATTGAGTAGTGGAGCAGACTCAATGGGCTTAGTGACCCACTTCTATGTCTTACAGTCTTCTTGTCTTTTCCTACACTGTATCACCCTGTATCTCAACCCTGCTACTCATCCTGTGCAATTGCTGCCCTTGGTAAAGCCGCCATAGCCCTATTGAACCATAGGACTGTTGTCTCATTAGAGAAAGGTAACTGATGGTGATTTAACCTGAGGATCATCACGCTCCGATGAGGGGAGAGGAAAGGAGTCCTTCACGGTAACCTGAAGCTGTAGTGAACACGCAGCTAGATCCTCTCTAATGCTAGCCATGATGTGGAGGTGCCGGTGTTGGACTGGGGTGGACAAAGTCAGAAGTCACACGACATCAGGTTATAGCCCAACAGCTTTATTTGGAACCATACTGCGCCTGACGAAGGGGCTGTGCTCTGAAAGCTTATGTGATTCCAAATAAACCTGTTGGACTATAACCTGGTGTCGTGTGACTTCTGATTTTCTCTAATGCTGACCTCGGTCTAAACCTTTGCGTTTAATGATTTCCTGTCCATTTCCCCTAGGATCCATCTCTTCTTAACAACCGCGTCACCTTGCACTATGCCAAACCTGGAAGTGTACTGGCCCGTCAGGGAGACCAGGTAGGTACAGTTGCGTGCCAGAACATCTACAATGCTGAGTCAGTGATTCCATTGGCAGAGATTGGGTGAACAGCATTCACAGCTATGGAGCATCACAGAAGCACTTTGTCCCCAATGAAATATTTTTATAATTTATTCTCTGTTGTGATGTAGTAAACATAACAGCCAACTTGTGCACAGCAAGATCCCACACCGGCAACAAGACAAATGAGTTTTTTTTCTTTGAGGGTAAATAGTTTGGGAGATAGCCCCTGCTTTTTATTGAAAGTGTGTTCTGGGCTCTTTTACTTAAGAGTGCATGTGAGGCCTGAGTATAATGTGTTGATTGAAAAGTAGCACGTCTGCAGCATTCCACCAATAATGCAGTCACGTATCTGAGATGGGACTTGAACGCCCACCACCCCTAATTGTTCTGTGGGATGTGGGTGTTGCTGCAAAGTCTGTACTTGTTGCCGATCCTTAATTGCTTTTGAAGTAAGTGCCTTTCAGAGGACAGTTAATTGTAAATTGGAGTCCCATTTGGGTCAGACCAGATAAGAACTGCAGATTTCCTTCCTTTAAAGGACCTTAGTGAAGTGGTCAGGCTTTTACACAACAATTGGTAGTAGTTGTCATGGTCACAATCACTGAGACTATCTTTCATATCCTGATTTTATTATTTGAATTTAAATTTCACTAGCTGCCTTGGTTGGATCTGAATACATGCCCACAGAACATTAACCTGGCCATCTGACGTGCTAGTCTAGTGGCATAGAAACACAGAAGATAGGAGCAGGAGAAGGCCATTCAGCCCTTCGAGCCTGCTCCACCATTCTTCACGATCGTGGCTGATCGTCCAACTCAATAGCCTAATTCTGCTTTCTCCCCATAACCTTTGATCCCATTTGCTCCAAGTGCTGTATCTAGCCGCCTCTTGAATACATTCAATGTTCTGGCATCAACTACTTCCTGTGATAATGAATTCCACAGGCTCACCACTCTTTGGGTGAAGAAATGTCTCCTCATCTCCGTCCTAAATCGTCTACTCCGAATCCTCCTACTGTGACCCTTGGTTCTGGACACACCCACCATCGGGAACATCTACCCTGTCCAGAACTGTTAGAATTTTCTAAGTCTCTGAGATTCCCCCTCATTCATCTGAACTCTAGCGAAAACAATCCCAACCTAGTCCATCTCTCCTCATATGTCACTCCTGCTATCCCCAGAATCAGGAACAAAAACAAAGTTGCTGGAAATGCCCAACAGGTCCGGCAGCATCTGTAAAGGAAAAAACAGAGTTAATGTTTTGGATCCGGCGACCCTTCCTCAGAATCAGCCTGATTAACCTTCATTGTACTCCCGAGAGAACAAGAATGTCCTTCCTCACAAAAGGAGACCAAAACTGCGCACAATATTCTAGGTGTGGCCTCACCAAGGCCCTGTATAACTGCAACAACACAACCCTGCTCCTGTACTGGAAACCTCTCGCAATGAAGGCCAACATACCTTTTGCCTTCTTTACCGCCTGCTGCACCTGCATGCTTACTTTCAGCGACTGGTGCACAAGGACACCCAGGTCCCGTTGCACACTCCCCTCTCCCAACTTACAGCCATTTGGGTAGCAATCTGTCATCTTGTTTTTGCTTCCAAAGTGAATAACTATACATTTATCCAAATTATACTGCATCTGCCGTTGTTTTGCCCACTTACCCAACCCGTCCAGATCATGCTGAAGGATCCTGAATCCTCGCCACAGTTCACCCTCCCACCCAACTTGGTATCATCTGCAATCTTAGAGATGTTACGTTTTGTTCCCTCACCCAAATCATTAATATATGTTGTGAATAGCTGGGGTCCCAGCATTGATCCCTGCGGCACCCCACTAGTTACCGCCTGCCAATTTGGAAAGGACCCATTAATTCCTACCCTTTGTTTCCTCTCTGCCAACCAGTTTTCTATCCACCTCCATACATTTCCCCTAATCCCATGTGTTTTAATTTTGCACAATAATCACTTACACAGGACTTTGTCAAATGCTTTCCGAAAGTCCAAATATCTCTCATCGACTGGCTCCCCCTTGTCAGCTCTACTAGTTACATCTTCATAGAATTCCAGCAGATTTGTCAAGCATGATTTCCCCTTCATAAATCCATCCTGAGTTTGTCTGATCCTGCCACTGCTTTCTAAGTGCTCTGCTATAAAGTCCTTGATAAATGATTCGAGAATTTTCCCCACTACTGATGTTAGGCTCACTAGTCTATAATTTCCTGTTTTCTCTCTACCTCCCTTTTTGAATATTGGAGTGACATCAGCTACCCTCCAATCTGCAGGGACTGTTCCAGAGGCTACAGATGACCATCAATGCATCCAATATTTCTCGAGCCACTTCCTTAAGTACTCTTGGATGTAGGTTATCAGGCCTTGGGGATTTATCCACCTTCAATCCCATCAATTTTCCCAGCACCATTTCTCTACTAATATTGATCTCCCTCAATTCTTTCTTCACGAAATCTTGCGTTCTCCAACATTTCTGGTATCTGATTTGTATCCTCTTTTGTGAAGACCGAACCAAACTACGTATTCAGTTCCTCAGCTATTTCTTTGTCCCCTATTATACATTCCCCCGTTTCTGTCTGAACAGAACCTACATTTGTCTTCACCAATCTCTTTCTCATCACGTACCGTTAGAAACTCTGTGTGTCGATCTTTATGTTCCCTGCAAGTTCACTTTCATACTGTATTTTCCCTATCTTAATCAATCTCTTGGTCCTTCTTTTCTGAATTCTAAACTGCTCCCAATCCTCAGACATATTACTTTTCTTGGCCAATCTGTAAACTTCTTCCTTGGATCAGATACTATCTCTAATTTCCTTTGTAAGCCATGGACTTGGCCCTCTTACCCATTTTGCTTTTGTGCCAGACAGGAATGAACAGTTGTTGCAGTTCCCCATGTGTTCCTTGAACGTTTGCCATTGCCCATCCACAGTCATCCCTTTATTTAGCTCTCACCAATCTATCAAGGCCAAATCACCCCTCATCTTCATAGTTTCCTTTATTAAGGTTCAGCACCCTAGTCTCCGAATCAACTACCTCACTCTCCATCTTGATTAAAAAAAAGTTCTATCATGTTATGGTCGCTCATCCCCAAGGGGTCTCGTACAGCTCGATTGGCAATGATTCCCTTCTCATTACACAGCGCCCAGTCGAGGATGGCCTGTTCTCTAGTCGGTTCCTGCATATATTGTTCAAGAAAACCATCCTGTATACATTGCAAGAATTCCTCCTCTACGGCATTGTGGCTAATTTGATTTGCCCAACCTATGTACAGATGAAAATCACCCATGATCACCGATATTCCCTTATCACATGCATCTCTAATTTCCTATTTAATGCCATTCCCAACATCACCACTGCAGTTTGGGGATCTGTATATGACACCCACTGATTTTTTTTTGCCCCACAGTATTTCTCAACTCGACCCATACAGATTCCACCTTGTCAGAGCTAATATCCTTTCTCACTATTGTGTTAATTTCCGCTTTAACCAAAAATGCCGCTCCACCACCTTTTTCTTTATTGCCTGTGCTTCCTAAATACTGAATACCCTGGGACATTCAGTTCCTATCCCTGGTCACCCTGCAGCCATGTCTCCCTAATCCCGATTATATTGTACCCATTTACATCTATCTGCACGATTAGTTCATCCACTTAATGCCAATGCTCTGCGCATTAAGACACAAAGCCTTTAAGCTTGTCCTTTTAACAGTGTTTGTCCCCTCCTTATTTTTCTCAATAGCTCTATTTGAATCTTGTCCTTGGTTTCCCTGCCTGTCACTTTTCTTATTCCCTTTTCTAATTTTTGTTTTTGCCCTTGCTCCCTCCTCCTCTAACTCCTTAGATAGATTCCCATTCCCCTGGCATATTAGTTTAAACCCTTCCCAACCGCTCTAGCAAACCCCGCCCCCCAGGGCATCAGTCCCAGTCCTGCCCAGGTGTAACCCATCCAATTTGTACAGGTCCCACCTCCCCCAGAACCGGTCCCAATGCCCCAGGAATCTGAAACCCTCCCCCTGGCACCATTTTTTCAGCCACGTATTCATCCAATATATCCTGTCATTTCTCCTCTGACTAGCCCGTGGCACCGGTAGCAATCTTAAGATCACTACCTTTGAGGTCCGATTTCTTAACTTTCTTCCTAGCTCCCTGTATTCTGCTTTCAGGACCTCATCCCTTTTCTTACCTTATTGTTTGTACCGATGTGTACTACAACCACTGGCTGTTCACCCTCCCCCTCCAGAATGTCCTGTACCCCCTGCGAGACATCCTTGACCCTAACACCAGGGAGGCAACATAACATCCTGGAGTCTCACTTGCGGCCACAGAAACGCCTGTCTATTCCCCTTAGAACTGAGTCCCCTATAACTATTGCCCTGACAGACATTTTGCCTCTTCCCCTCTGCTGCAGGAACAACCATGGTGCAATGAGTTTGGCTGCTGCTTTCCCCTGAGAGGCCATTCCCCTCAACAGTATCCAAAACGGTATAACTGTTTTTCAGGGGAGCGATCACAGGGGATTCCTGCACTACCTTGTAGGGATGGTTGCCAAGCTGCACACATTTTAATTCAGACTCCCGAATTGTTGACCGGTTGTGCATAATTGGGATAATTGTGCATAAAAGTGAAGGAGTTTGTCAGCACGATAGCTGTCATTCTGTTGACTGTAAAATGAAACCTGCAGAGTGCCCAGCTATACTGTATGATAATGCCCATGCTGGCAGCAAGGTGAAATGTGTTGTCATCTCTCCTGAATGCAGGATGTCAGTTTACATTTTGTGCTGTCGGGCTACCTGCATGTTTACCAGCGAATGATTGACAAGGAGGACGATGTGTGCCTATTTGTGACTCACCCTGGAGAAATGGTGGGCCAGCTTGCTGTCCTGACTGGTGAGCCACTGATCTTCACTGTCAAAGCAAACCGTGACTGCGTTTTCCTTAAGATCTCCAAATCGGATTTCTATGAGTGAGTATTGGCAGGTATTTGTCTCTGTTTTATGTGCTGAGCTTTGTGCAGGGTTTGTGCAAATGCGAAACTTCCTTAATAATCATAGAACCCCTACAGCATGGCACCAGGCCATTTGGCACATCGAGTCCACTTTAACCCTCCGAAGATCATCCCAGCCAGATCCACCCCTGCATTTCCCATGGCTAATCCACCTAGCCTACACATCCTTAGACACTGGGCAATTTAGCATTGCCGATTCACTCAACCTGCACAACTTTGGACTGTGGGAGGGAACCGGAGCTGACATGGAGCAAATGTGCAAACTCCACACAGCCAATCTCCCAAGTGTAGAATCGACCCTGGGTCCCTGGCTCTTTGAGGCAGCAGTGCCAGCCACTGAGCCATCATGCCACCCCTTCTTCACCACGTGCTGTTGTGCACTTAGCTTTGATGCAAGTTGAAGGAAGTGTGTGCGTTGTCAGCTGGACAGCCTTGTTGTGGGTGTTCCAGCCTCAGGGATTGATTCTGGGATAATGCCTGCCTCGAGGCTGGCTGCATTGAATATGGAAGCCTCAAGTGTTTTAAATAAAGGCCCCGAGCTCCCATCTGTAATTGCCGTTAAGCTGTTTTAGAAGGTATTTAAGAGTCATCCACATTGTTGTGGGTCTAAAGTCATATGTTGGCTAGACCAAGAAAGGACATCTTCCCGAAAGAGCATTCATGATCCAGTGGAGCTTTTGTGTCAGTCAACAATGGTTTCATTTTCACCACTAGGTTTATAATTTTCTCAATGCATTTTAATTCCACCAGATCAGATGACACAGTGGAATTTGAGCTCATGTCCTCCACATCAATTTCGGGGATTATTAGTTTAACGGCATTACCATCCCACCACCGGTCCCCCCCAGCCCCTGCCACGGACAGAGATGCTTGACTAACCTTTCAATGCAGCTGATTGCAATAGCTAGTCCTTGTGACTCTGCCGGAGATGTTTCACAGCTTGTGAAGTAGTTTCCTCCTATGTTGTTATACATGCAGCTCCTTAACGTAAAATATGCAGATGACCTCCCAATTCTCCTCCAGTGTGAAGCATTCCTGGTGCATCAGTTTGAATGCAAGTAATCTGACCAGTGCATTAGTGCCACGTTTATACCTCTGTCCCTGAACCTCTTTCTTTAAAGGCTGGGGTGTGTGGGTATATTTTCCCTCCTATGTATGTAGGATGAATGATGAGCTCTAATCTTACGTACACTAGTGCACATGTGCAGCATTGATAAACAGCCTGCTTACTGCTGTATTGTTGCTGCTGATGGGAGCAGTTGCTAAACTGATCTGTTCTTTTTACCAAATAGGATTTAAGTGGAAGTATTTTCCAACCTCTGCATAACTATTGTCCTTTATTTTATTGAAAAGTTTAAAATCTGCTTTCAGGATAGGTAGGACTTGATACTTTGCTAAGCAAAGGGGTGAAAATTTTTCAGGGAGAGGTGGGAATGTGGAGTGATCAGATCAGATCAGCCATGACCTTATTGAATGACCGAACAGGCTCAATGGTTTGCTCCTCCTAACCCTACATTCATATTCAGCAGGCTAAGGGAGAGCAACTGAAATTGTCATTGTCTGTCCAAACACCTGAAGTTCTCTCTGTGCTTGACGAGATTGATAATTTTGGTGTAGCTGTTGAAATTGGTCGGCGTGAAAAAGTTGGACCGAAGGGTCTGTCTCCCTGCTATATGACTCTAAATCATAATTCAGTGTCTCCCAAACTCTGCATCACAAACCTGCAGCTGCGGTTGGGAGATGTGGTCGTGGGGTGATGAGCTCTAAGGAAGCAATACTTGCAGAGGAACTAGAACCGACATCTGACAGCTGCGAGGCCCCTTTAAACATTTATGTTGGTGGACTTAGCCTAATGAACAACTCGGAGACCCAACTGCTGGTGCAAAAGATGTCCACGAATAGGCAGGTTTCTGTTTGGAGAAATGCTGTCTTTTCATCAACTTCCTGTTGTACTCTACCCCCTCTCTCCCCTACCCTCCACTCAAAACAAGTCTCCTACCCCAAACTTTCACTCTGGCGAAGACTGGGCCTTTAAAATGGAAGTGGAAGCAGTTTGGGAATAACTGTTATAATTCACCCACAGGTTTAAAATGAGAGTAATGATGTCAGTATCTTAAATCAGAGAGATGAGATGCATTTCAGGCCACTGAGGTTATATGCAGAAGAAGGGCCTCTCGGGTGTGCTCTGATTTATCCATCACCAATCCCTCGTTGATCTCCAGGACTTCCCAGTCCATGTTAACATTTTCATCCCTCTAACCTTGTCATCTTCCAACTCATCCTTTCCCCTCCTTACCTGTTGTTGTTGCCAAAATGTCCATTCATTTGATTCTGGTTTCCTCCATATTCCCATCTCAATTCTCAATCCCACCACTAGCAGCTCTGCCTTTACCACCCGCCTGAATAGTCTCTTAATTCTTCCTATTAATCTGTTTTCCCCCCCCGTTTCTCTTCCCTGTGTGAAATGGCCCATCAGGGGAGGCAATGGCTGAGTGGTATTATCGCTAGACGGTAAATCCAGAGACCCAGTTAATATCCTATGGACCTGGGTTCGAATTCCACCTTGGCAGATGGCTAAATTTGAACTCCATGAAAATCTGGAATTAAGAGTCTAATGATGATCATGAAGCAATTGTTGATTGTCAGGAAAAACCCATCTGGTTCACTGAAGTTCCTTAGGTAAGGAAACTGCCATCCTTGCCTGGTCTGGCCTACATGTAACTCCAGACCCGCAGCCAGTTGACTCTTCAGCTTCCCTCTTGGCAATTGGGGATGGGCCTACCCAGCAATGCCCTCATCCCACAAATAAATAAACTCCATTCTTTAGTTCAGGCTGATATACTGTTCTGCTGCAAAGGGTAATGTTCCTAAATTACAGCAATGTCTGAGGCAGCATTCAGGAGTTTATTGGGTGAATGAGTCATTGTGGTGATCTGCAGTTGTCGAAGTGACTGTCTGCACATCTGCTTGTGACTTTGCGCTCTGTATAGAAGTCACATAATTTCCAATGTCGAGAAATGAGGCTGACTGCATTGGATACTGAGCGGTGTTGGCAGCGAGTGCTACAGAGTTTGATGTTTTTGTTAAACCTTGTGTTCATTTTGCAGAATAATGCGCGAACAGCCTAACGTGGTGCTCAGTGCTGCACATAATGTGGCTGTCAGAATGTCTCCATTTGTACGGCAAATGGACTTTGCAATTGACTGGATGGCAGTAGAAGCAGGCCGTGCCCTCTATAGGTAAGCCAATGCTGACGATTTGTATGCACAGTTTCGAGCTTCTTCTAGCATAATTTTGAAAGTAAATTTCGTCAGTGAGCTGCTGAAGGGCTCAATTTTGTTGTCAATTTAACTAATGGCACTTGATCTTCAACATCATAGAGATCTACTACCCAGAAAAAAGCCCTTCAGCCCATTGTGTCCATGCTGGTCACAAGAAAACAATTAACCATTTTAATCTACATAATACATGGCCTTGTTAGATACTGTTTAATAGCAACAGCTGGTGGTGCAATTTATTGCACAACACTGGCCGTTCAGCCCAGCTACTTGTTCCAGTATTTTCGGTCCACAACACACAATTCCAGAATTATTATAACACAGATGGAGGCCATTCAGTTGATTCGTGTCTGCACTGGCTCTTCAGCCAAGCATCATTACTGAGTGCCAACCTTTTGCCTTGTCCACATATCTTTACACCATATTTCTGTCCAAATAATCATCCAATGCTGCTTTGAATGACTCTGTTGAGCCTTCCTCCTCCACATTCCAGTCAGTCATTCCATGCCCTAATTACGCATTGTGTGAAAACGTTTCTTTCTCACATTGTCCTTGCTTCTTCTATACATAATTTTCAATCTGTACTGTCTCGTTTTTGTTCCTTTTACAAGTTGGACAGTTTCTCCCGATTATATACTGCGTTCAGCCCACTCATGATTTTGAAAACCTCTATCAAAGCTGATCCTCATGATCTTCCTCCAATCATTTCATCTAACCCTATTCCTCCATTCCCTGCTCCTTCGTGGGCTTGGATGCATCAATGCTATTTGCATCAACAACTCCATCTGTGAACTATTCCACTCTAGACAAGTGAACAGTGCAGTGCTCCTAGAACACAGCATAACCTGATTAGAGAATGAGGGCATCATTGCTACAACCCTACACCCCTATCTCCAACTAAATCTAGCAGGGCATATAGCTTCTGAATGCAGAGTACAGATTGTGAAGGAAATTAAGATTAATTAAAATTGAAATATAGACGGGTGGTTAAGAAGATGTTTAGTGCGCTTGCCTTCATTGCTCAGACTTTTGAGTATAGGAGATGGGACATCATATTGAGGTTGTATGGGACATTGGTGAGGCCTCTTCTGGAATACTGAGTCCAGTTCTGGTCACCCTGTTATAGGAAGGATATTATTAACTTGGAGAGAGTTCAGAAAAGATTAACCAGGATGATATAGGGACCGAAGGGTTTGAATTATAAAGAGAGGATGGATAGGCTGGGACTCCTTTCACTGGAGCGTAGGAGGTTGAGGGTGACCTTTAGAGATTTATAAAAATATGGAGGTTATAGATAAATTAAATGGCATGTGTCTTTTCCCGAGCTTGGGGGATTTCAAGACTAGAGGGTATATATTTAAAGTGAGAGGAGAAAGATTTAAAAAAGACATAAGGGGCAATTTTTTTTAACACAGTGTGGATTATATGTAAATTGAACTGCCAGAGGAAGTGGTGGATGTAGGTACCGTTACAGTGTTTAAAAGACATTTGGATAAGTCCATGAATAAGAAATGTTTGGAAGGATACAGTCCAAGCATAGGCAGGTGGGGCCAGTTTAGTTTGGGATTATGGTCAGCATGGACTGGTTGGATCGAATGACTCTCTGACTCCAAGATCTTAGTAATTCAATTAAAAATGATATAAAGGTATTGATTCTTCTCCAACATTGTATATATTGTACAAATCCAGTACATATGTAGCTCTGCATATTCCATAGATTGTTATGGAGGAGTTTGATCCCTTCAAAAGATGTGGATGTTGCTGGCTAAGCCAGCATTTATTGTCCATCCCAGTTGTACCGAATTTGGTAGTGAGATACCCTCTTCAACTGTTGCAGTTTGCCATTACCAACTCTGGAACTGACACCACTAAAAAGACAGGAAATATCATTTCAAAACATTGCATTTCAAAAGTTGTTTGCTGTCTCCCTGATGAAAGTGAATGTACTGCTTATTGTCCTTCTTTAAGTGCACTGTCTTCTCTGACCTCAATGTTAAAAGTCAACTCTTCCTGCCTAGCAATCCATATTTGCTCAATAAACTGTGAGTATTTAGGAGGCGGGTTTAATTGAGGCATTCCGGAGTGCAATAGATTGTTCCCACTTAAATAACAAAGTGAAGAGTTTGAGGAAAAAGGCGGGAGATTAGCACTCGGCTAATATGCTCAGGGAATTGGTGCAGGCACAATGGACTGAATGCTTGCCTCCTGCACCGTAACAATTCTGTAATTTGTTCAGTTTTCTCTGCAGGAATCTAATCTGGTTGCTGTGTCATCAGTTTTTCTCCTTCCATTTCAGTCATCAGTGAATTAAGGCCCTAGAATGACCGTTAGAGACAGTGGCTATTGAATTCATCCATTGTTATGGGACCACTTTAGTGATTTAAAACAGTGTGTGGTTCTCAAACAATAGGGCTTATCGGGAGAGATAGTAGGAACTGCAGATGCTGGACAATCTGAGATAACAAGGTGTAGAGCTGGATGAACACAGCAGGCCAAGCAACATCAGAGGAGCAGAAAGCCTGATGTTTCGGGCCTAGACCCCCCTTCAGAAATGGGAGGAACGCTTCTGAAGGATCTCAGTGTTCTGAATGTAGACATTGTCACGGTTGGGGCCAAATTGGGAAGGCCTGAATGTGGACTGTAGTCCATTGGGGATGATCTGGTTCCGTAGGCAGGTACTAAGAAAGGCAATGTGGCTGAAGTACCTGGTTTGCTTCAGGACGTGGTTGAGTAGTTCCAAGGTCGAAGAGATTACGAGAGAGTTGCAGTGGGAGAGAGATCCACTGAGGTTTTTCCGGACGGAGGAGGGTAACTTCTTCAGGGTAGGCATCCTTAGAAGAGGCTTCACAGTGGGGTTAAAATTGTTTCAGAGATAGTAGGAACTGCAGATGCTGGAGAATCTGAGATAACAAGGTGTAGAGCTGGATGAACACAGCAGGCCAAGCAGCATCAGAGGAGCAGGAAGGCTGACGTTTCGGGCCTAGACCCTTCTTCAGAAAGGCTTATGGGGAGCACTGGTTCCATTCCTTGCATCCCCCCCCCCCAGCCCCGGTCATCTCCCACCCACTCACTTCACAGATCCTGAGTGTCTCGAGGTTTTCTTTGCTGTCTCCTTTGCAGTTTACCAGTTTGACTGTGCTGGAACATCACTAATACACTGTCTGCTATGCAGCATTTCTCGCACTGGGACACTGCCAGTAAGTGGGACCACAGCTTTATTCCAGGTCCGGATGATCAAAAGTATTTTCAGTCGTGCACTCAAAAGGGTGTTACCACAGCCTTGGATGGTGTAGCGTTCTTTTGTGGCCTCCCTTGAATGTCTCACTGCACTTCCCTAAGTCTACAGATCCCATTTATTTGAGAGTTGCTGATTTTAAAAAGCTCCCTTTCACTTGCAGAAGAAAATAATCAAAGATTATTAGCGAGAGGTACCAGCATATTGTTTGTAGTGATCATGGTGTTATAACTGTCTCTGCGCAGAAGTTTGACAGATTTCATTCTGCGAGTGTGAACAACAGCCATCGGTGTTCTTTTCGCATTCCTGGTTAATCAGATGAAGTTATCTTTGTGCTCACTGGCTGCCTGGTGGCCCTCTAGCTGTCTGATTCTCTCTAGCATCTTTGTTTCAATTTGCAGGCAGGCTGACCGATCAGACTGTACCTATATCGTCCTGAATGGACGACTGAGGTCTGTGATCCGCAAGGCTAACGGCAAGAAAGAACTTGTAGGAGAATATGGACGTGGAGATCTGATTGGAGTGGTAATTAGTTCTCTTCCCATGCTGTTAAAAGATTGTCTGCATTCTCGTTTGCTGAGGGGAGTGAAAATACCAGTCATAACCACAGTAGTCAGATGGTCTCAGTCTGTTCCTGTAAAGAAAAAGTGGCCGTGTGAACCAGGATTGCCAAAATCTGATTCATTTAATAAATAATCATTTGCTTCTTAGCACCTCTGGCTGAATAACGAGCAATTGGACTGATTTCTGCTTGAGCCAGTGCTCAGTGGCTGACAGAATATCTCCTGCATTAGTTTTGTTGTCTTCCACCCATCCATTCACTTTCAGCCCTGTGTGCGTGTGTCACCAAATCCATGTGAGAGCAGTAGATTGAGGGCACTTCTAACTCAAGAAATTGAAACCCTATCACAGCACTCTGCCCCAACCTCCTGTTCGCACATTGATCCTGACCAGGAAGAAGGTTCAGCTACCTCATGAATATAAATTGACTGGAAAATTCTGAGTTATTAATGAAAGAAACAAGTTTGGATGAGGTTTGAATTTGATGGGCAATATATTAGCCCTTTGAGAAGTAAAGTGAATGGCCAATTAATAAGGACAAATGTCTCTTTATTGTGGGCTAGCTGGTACAAAACCATTCATATTTCCTTCACCTGCACTACTGAATGATGGTCTGAACACCATTTTGACAAATCTATTTGGTTTAGACAAACCAGTTGTATCTGGACTGACATAACACTCAGACTGTCAAAACCCCAGTGAAACAGTTAACATTTATGTTCTGAAGTGTGCCTCTTGTGATTCATGAGGCAATTGCAGTTGTACTGCGAAAGACTGGGTGGATGGATGGTCTGTTCCTTGCCTGTCATTTTCCATCCATTTGTAAGTTGCCTTACCTTTAATTTTATTTTTCTTTCCATTTCAGGTTGAAGCCCTAACTCACCAGCCCCGCGCCACTACAATGCATGCAGTTCGTGACTCTGAACTGGCCAAGTTACCCGAGGGAACACTGAATAATATCAAGAGAAGGTATCCTCAGGTTGGTTGCCAAGTCCAGGTTGGCCTTCTCTGCATGATCTGACGCTTCAAAGTATGCATCCCATCTCGCTTCATTTAGGAGATTTCTAAATATTCTCTCATCTCACTTGTGTGTGGCTACTTGAAGTGCTGTTTTAAAATAGTGGTAAAATAATCCAGAACGTAGCCAGAGGGTAGATATTTTTAATTTGTTTACGGGATATAGGTATCACCAGCTAGGCCAGCATTTATTGCCCCTCCCTAATTGCCTTAGAGAAGGTGTTGGTGAGCTGACTTCTTGACTGCTGCAGTCCCACAGTGCTATTAGAAAGGAAGTTCCAGGATTTTAACCCAGTGACAGCAAAGGGACAGTGATATATTTCCAAGTCAGGGTGGTTGTGTGTCTTGGAGAGGAACATGTTGTTCCCATGTGCCTGCAGCCCTTGTCCTTCTAGATGATAGTAGTCGTGTGTTTGGAATGTATTGTTGAAGGAACCCTGGATGAATTTATTTGGTTGCTCCTCTCCACTGAGGAATTAAGTGCAGGCTGATGTTTTGATTCCTTTTCACAAGTGATTACAAACGCTACCAGGGTATCTCCTGATAACAGTGGTTGTCACTGGCACTTGTATTTGTTGTTTTATGGACCTGTGAAGCAATTGGAATGGAGTAGGCTGGATTTCACTCTACTTGGAGAAACCTATTACATGGTTTTTACTCCATTTCTGTTTAAAGCTGCAAAAGGAACTAAGTTTTAAAAAAAAGTATGTTGGAAAGTGCAACACCATACTTGGGGAATTTATCCCACTCCCAAAGCTCCAAGGTTCCATGCACAGCAATTAACATCAGCACGCCAATCGCAGCATTGACTTCTGGAAGTTCTTGCCATTCACTGACCTTGAGGTCTGCACAGCCAGTGAGAAAATTAGAGAGAACACCGGGTGGGAGACCCTCAAAAAAGAGAAATATTTAACAGTCTACTCCATTATCTTGTTTTTGGTGGTTATTCTTCAATTCGTCAGTTGATCAGGTGGACTCTGTTTTACAGTTACTTAATTTAAGCCTGTATCTTTTACCCTGAACAGGAAGAGAGAGACCGAGAGAGAGAGAGCGATGCTTTCTATCTGCAGGCTCTGGATACTTTTCTCCAGTGCGGCTACGCTGGCAGTTATAGCTTTTTAACACTTTGGTTGAGATGCAATCAGAGGTCTGTTGTCAGGCAGAATTTCCTTGACTCGAAACATTCTTTGTGCCACTTAGTCTCATTCTCCTTCCTTCAAAAAGCAAGTTTTATTGATCAGCTCCACAAAATCTAACACTTGCTTTTAAGTTGCAAAACTCTCCTGTTATTTCATGTTACAATAGCCCAACTTCCATTTGATAATTCCAAAAAACAGAAGTATCTGATCCCTTAATAAGAAAAGTGTCAGTTTTTGTTCTCTGCGTTCCTGAAACGTGCTGTGATTGTATTAAACGAGCCATTTTGCCTTGTGTGCTGAAGTCCCAATCATGTTGATAAACTCAGGATTTGCTGGTGGGGCTCTTGTGCAGTGATATTGCTTTTCAGAGCTCTCAACCTTTTGTTGGTACACAGTCTGGATGCCTGTCTCAAATGCTGGTTCATATTCAAGTCCTGGGTCTGCAGTGAAGTGAAAGGGAGTTCTGACTTCTCATTATTTTTCACCAGCGAAGTTCCATTGGAGAGTAAGGTTGTTTCCAATTAGCCAAGTCCATGGATAATTCCTAGGTATTTTTCAGTCCACACATGAGATCCAGGCGCAAGACATAGACTCATAGAGTCATAGTTACACAGCACGAAAACTGATCCTTGGGTCCAACTGATCCATGCCGACCAGATATTCTAAATTAATCTAGCCCATTTTTGCCAGCATTTGGCCCATATCCCTCTGAACCCTTTCTATTCATGTACCCATCCAGATGCCTTTTAAATGTTGTAATTGTACCAGTCTCCACCACTTCCTGTAGCAACTCGTTCCATGCACGCAGCACCCTCTGTGTGAAAGCGTTGTCCCTCGGGTCCCTTTTGAATCTTTCCCCTCTCACCTTAAACCTGGGTTGAGTTCTTGGCAAAAGGCAGAAACATGCACAAGGAAATGAAGAATGCAATTTTAAGGGAAACATTTGAATATGAAGCTGAAATAATTTGGCAATTAATGAATTTGGTGCTCAGTATTAGATGTGAACTCCCTGAATATTTAAGGTAAATTTACATTTTGCTGTTTGTTGTAGGGATGATATTTTAAAGGACTCCTCAAATGAAGCCATATGAGTAGAACTTAAAAACCAAACAGGGGTAATGACATTGTTGAGACACCCAAACAATCCGAGAAGAATAGAATAGCAGATATGTAGGCAAATTTCAAAGAAGCAACCAAGTAATAGGATGGAGAGGCGATGGCCTAGTGGTCTTATCGCTGGACTATTAATCCAGAGACTCAGATAATGTTCTGGGGACCCAGGTTCGTATCCCACCATGGCAGATTGTGAAATTTTAATTCAATAAAATATCTGGAATCAAGAATCTAATGATGACCGTGAATCCATTGTCAATTGTTGGAAAAACCCATCTGATTCACTAATGTCCGTTAGGGAAGGAAACTGTCATTCTTACCTGGTCTGGCCTACATATGACTCCAGACCCACAGCAATGTGGTTGACTTTTAAATGCTCTCTGGGCAATTGGGGATGGGCAATATATGCTGCCTGGCCAGCGATGCCCTCATCCCGTGAATGAATTTTGAAAAAAAGGGTAGTGATAGATGGGGCCATCTACTTGCCCAACATTAACTGGATTCATCATTGTGTGAAAGGCTTGGAGGGAGCAGAATTCTTAGATGGCTGATCAGACAGACTGATCAGTTACAAATGGAATTCAATCTAGATAAATGTGAGATAATGCACTTGGGCAGGACGAATGAGTCAGGGAATATATGATGAATGATAGGACTCCTGAAAACACTGAGGACCAGAGGAATCTTGGCGTGCATGTACGCCAGTCCCTTAAGGTATCGGAACAGGTGGATAAAGTTGTTAAGAAGGCATATGATATTGTTATGGACAACATCAGATACTCTCTTTCTCACTCTCTTTCTCTCTCTCTTTCTCTCTCTCTTTCTCTCTCTCTTTCTCTCTCTCTTTCTCTCTCTCTTTCTCTCTCTCTTTCTCTCTCTCTCTTTTTCTCTTTCTCCCTTTCCCAACCCCACCAGTGAGATAGCCTTGACCCTAACTTTCGTACTTAATTAAAGGCAAGTGTAATGTGTCCCACATGTGATTTGATTCGTCCATTACTACGCTTGAATCAAAACACATTTCATTCTTACAACATGGTTAAAATACAAAAAAAAGAACAATGGGCATAACTTTACTCAATTTTCGGAAGGAGACATTTCGACAGCGCTGTGACAACACCCCACAGCAAGAGCAACACACAGAGCACCTCTATTAAAGGCACAGTCTTGTCACATTGTACTTGCCTTTATTGCCGAGGCATAGAATTTAAGAGCAGGGAGCTTATGCTGGAACTGTATAAAATGTTGGTTAGGTCACAGGTAGAGTATCGTGTGCAGGTCTGGAATCTACATCTACAGTTAGCAATGAGAATCTGGAACACACTGCCAGTAACGGTGGTAGAGGCAGGGACTCTCATAATGTTTAAGAAATATCTAGATGTGTACTTGCGATGCCAAGATAGACAAGGCTGCAAACCAAGTGCTGGAAAATGGGATTCGAATGGTTAGGTGATGGTTGTTGACTGGTTTGGACGCAGTGGGTTGAAAGGCCTTTTTCTGTGTTATACCTTTATGAATGTTGATCGTGCAGATAGTGAGGAAAATCCAAGATAATGAGCAAGAGTCTCTTGAAGAATTTCCCTGGAGGCTTGGTGTCAGAATCTGTGCTAAAATGTCCTGGGATTGGTGTCCAACATGATCTGAGTTGCAGAAAGATGAACAGCTGTCAGAAACTTGGAGTGTCCCCCAGTGGGACTGTTGTTATTTTTGGTTGGTGTTTATCTGTGCTCTGTTCAGGGAGATAGTAGCAATTAATTCATACTTGATGATGAATTATGTTTCCTAAAAGGAAACACTGATGCCTCCTGATCAGACAGTAAGGGATAATGGTTTGTAAGTCATTAGTGACTATCATCCTTGGGGTGGGGAAGAGATAAACAGGGTCCCTTCGTGGTTGGGGTGGCTTCAAAATGATACTTAGCTCAGCAATAGTTCAATTTCAAAAATATTCAGTGCTGGGGAAACTTAGACTTTCTGCGTTTCTCTAGCCCTTTCTGCTTTTATTTCAGAATCTCTAGCAACCACAGTATTTTGTTTTTTGTAACTTGATTTGAATCTCTTCTGTCCCACTTGGGAATCTTTTATCACGGACACGTAAATGCGTACCATCTGTGAATAGGAAGGCAAATAAAACGTTGCCATTTGTTGAAAGGTGAAGGGAATATAAAGTAGGGATATTTTGCTGCAGTTGTGTTGTGGTGAGGCCACATCTGGGGTACTGTGTACAGCTTTGATCCCCTTGTTCAAGAAAGGATGTAAATGTGATAAAAGCAGTTTGGAGAGCGTTCATTCAACTGATTTCCGGCAATGGTGGAGTTTATCTTATGAGGAAATTTTGGACAGGCTGGACCTGTATCTGTTGGAGATTAGAAGAATGAGAGACGATCTCATTGAAGCATTCAAAATTCCGAGTGGACTTAACAGAGTAGATGCTGAGAGAGGATGTCTCCCCTTGTAAAGGAGATGAGAACAAGAGACATAGTTTAAAAATAAGGGGTCTCCCATTTAAGAGTGTTAGAGTCATACAGCATGGAAACAGGCCCTTCAGTCCAACCAGTCTATGCTGATCATAATCCCAAACTAAACTAGTCCCATTAAGGTGGAGGTGAGAATTGTTTCCTAAGGATCACGAGTCTTTGGAACTGTCCTCCCCAGGGAGCAGCAGAACAGGTTCATTGAATAATTTTGAGGCTAACGTAGGTAGATCTTAAGACTAACAAGGCAGTCAGAGGTTATCAAGAGTAGGCGGGAATGTGGATTTGAGGTTGCTATCAGATGAATCACAGTTGTATGAAAAGGTGAATCAGCTTCAAGGGGCTGAATATCCTGCCATATCATATGTTTATGTTTTGATGGTAATGCTTTTTAACTATTTTGTCAAATTGTTTATGTATTATAGGTAGTCACTCGGTTGATTCACCTTCTGGGTCAGAAGATCCTGGGTAACCTGCAGCAGGTGCACGGGACATTTCCAGGTAGGACACTTAGCCATGGGATTCTGAACTGAGTCGGACTTCAAATGCTCATATCCTCCTCCCATCTCAGCAACCACCTTGAAAAGTAAGAGCAGGTGCAGTATGTCTGTCTGATCCCTGCTGAGAGCCAGCAGGTATAGCTAATGTTAAACATGCGCCTGTCCAGGACAGTGAGCAGTATTTTGTCTTTTGTGCTGTGATATATTGGTGTCTTCAGACGCTCGGTCTGCATGCACACAAACGTTTGAATGTGCAAAGTCCTGCCAATCGGGACAGTTCGAATAAAATATAGACCGGCAACAGATAATTGAGATATAGTTATAGACTCTTGAATAATAAAGTCTTCTATGTGGAATAGAGGTGGGCCTCGGGTAAATCCATCTGTGGGTCTGGTAACATTCTTACAAACCTGGGGTGTCTACCACCTGGAAGGAGAGCAAACAGCTAATACCTAGGAATACTACCACTTAAAAGTTCCCCTCCATGTTATGCAACCTGCTGACCTGGAACAATGCCACCATACCTTCATTGTCAATAAGTTAAAGTCTTGGAACTCCTTCCCAGATAGCACTCTTTGGGTGTCTCTATACCACAGGTACTGCAGCAGTTTTTCTCACTTCTTCATGGGTGTGAATATGGCTGGTTAGGTCAGCACATTGCCCTTTCCTAATTACCTAAAACATCAGAAAGGCAGCTCACCGCCACTTTCTTGAGGGTGGCTAGGGATGGGCAATAAATGCTGGCCATGCTGTTGACCCCCAGGTCCCATGAGAGAATCTCTATTCCGACAGGGGACAGCTCACATGCAGATGATCAGATGTCTCCTGAGCTCCAGTGTTAGATTTTACAGTCTTAAATGGGCAGATTATCTTAAACATAGCATTTCCTGAACAAGCAGTAGTTATTGCTCAAGTCTTCCATAAACCCATAAAACATAGAAGTAAGCCATTCATACCATCTAATCCACTCTGCCATTCAATGAGGTCATGGCTGATCTAATAATCCTCAACTCTACTTTTCTGTCTAATCCCCATAACCCTTGATTCCCTTAATGATTAAAAATCTGTCTATCTCAGCTTTGAATATACCTGTGCTTAAAGAACCAGCCTCAACAGCCCTCTGCTGTAAAAAAAAAAAATTCCATAGATTCACTGCTGTCTGAGAGAAGAGATTCTTCCTCATCTCTTTTTTAAATGGGTGACCCCTTACTCCTGAGATGATGGCCTTTATCCTTACTCGAATAGGGCTATCAACACTTAACACTGTCTTATTTCAGAATAATGCACCACTCTATTCATTCTAAGACCAAAGTTTCTCTGGGCTTACTAAGCAACACGACGTGGATGTAAAGTTGTAACTTGAAGAGATTTTAGGAATTGTGAGTGGAATGAGGTTCTCTTCCTGTTGTGAAGAGTTGACAATCAGAATGGGTGTTCCCAATGTCTAGCTGGATATCATGTTGTTACAATACATCTTGCCTGTGAAATCGAGATCCCTCCCCAACTTGGTGTTTTTTTTTCTATTCTGTGTGGACTAATCTTAGTGATGATTTATTGAGCTCATTTTTGTGTGTCTCGATTCTTCCAGGCTCTGGAATCGGATTCTCGACAGCTAGCAGTGCCGATGTAACAAACCCAACCAGTAACCTATCCACTGTGGCTGTGCTTCCCGTCTGTGACGAAGTACCAATTGCTGCCTTCACCATGGAGCTGACTCATGCACTCAATGCTATTGGTTAGTGAGCTATTTACTGGGTCTTAAGAACTGAGGATGCTGTAAATCAGGAACAAAAACAGAAGTTGCTGGAAAAGCTCAGCAGGTCTGGCAGCATCTATGAAGAAAAAGATCAGAGTTAATGTTTCAGATCCGGTCATCCTTCCACAGAACTGAGGAACTTCCTCAGCATTTACCTGGTCTCTCTGACCTTGAGTTGTAAAACCTTTAGGTTTCGTCTGAGCATTGACCTCTGAAACTCTTGTTGCTGCAAGAATACCATCACCTTCGAGAAATGCTGAGAGTTCATTCATGATACAGTTTAGGTTTAACTGTGGTTTCACTGAATCTCATCCAGTTTTCCATATCAGAAACTTGGGAAGGGGTATCTTTTGGGCAACAAGCTGATCATTCTTTGGACGTAAAGGGCTTTCATTCTCCTGACACTCAGATGTCCTCTTACGCAAAGATGAGATTGTGGGCTGGAGGGAGTCACCAAGGAACTCTGCCTCACTAGTTAAGGAGCTGCTCTAGCACCATGTGCTTGGCCGCTGGTCGATGTGAGTCACGAGCAGGCCATTGGCCCCTTGAGCCTGCTCTGCCATTCAGTAAGACCATGGCTGATCTGACCACTCCACATTCCCACCTACCCCCTACAACCTCTCGCCCCCTTGCTTATCAAGCATCTATTCACATCTGCCTGAAAAAAGCAATTCAAAGATTCTGCTTCTACCATCTTTTTAGGAATAGAGTTCCAAAGACCTTTGACTCTCTGAGAGAAAACCTTATCCCCCCATCTGTCTTGAATAAGCGACCCTTATTTCGAGATTCGCCCACAAGAGGAAACCTCTATTCCGCATGCACCCAGTCAACAACACTCAGATTCTCCAGTGTTAAGACCTTTTAAACATTTGAATCAATTCATCTCTTGCTCTAACTCTTCTAAACTCCTGTAGCTACAAGTCTAACCTGTCTAACACTTCTGCTTAAGACATCTCACCCATTCTAAGTATTAATCTGGTAAACCTTCTGAACTATTTCAGTATTCCAAATGTGGTCTTGTCAATTCCCTATAACTGAAACATAATCTTCTCCTTTTGGATGCAGCACCTTGCAATTCATGGTAATATTCCATTAGCTTTCTAAATTACTTGTTGTACCTGCAGACTAACATCTTGTGATTCATGTATACGACATTCCGATCCCTGTGCAATCTCTCACCATTTGGACAATGTGCTTTTTTAAATTCTTCCCACCAAAATAGCCAATTTCAGATTTTCCAATCTTATACTCCCATCTCCCAGATCTTTGCCCACTCATTAATCTTGTCTTGATGCACGAAACCAGATCTAATATAGCATGCTGTCTGACTCCAGAACGTGTTCTAAGAAACTGTCCCAAAAACTCCTCATGAACTTCTTATCTGGGCTACCTTTGTCCATCTTTTTTCTCCAGTCAATCTGTGTTTCAAAGCCTCATAATTATTGTCATACTTTCCTGAAAGGTCAGTTAGCTCAGTTGGCTGGCTGGTTTGTGATGCTGTGTGACACCCACAGTGTAGGTTCAGTTCCTGTATGGGCTGAAGTTACCATGAAGGACTCTCCTTCTCAACCTCTCCCCTCACCTGAGGCATGGTGACCCTCAGGTTAAACCACCACCAATCTCCTCAGTCTCTAATATAAGAGCAGTCCTATGATCTTGTAAAACTACGGTGACTTTACCTTGGACATTATTCACCTTCCTGTTGAGTTCCCATTATTTCTTTGTTTGTGCTTCATCCCACTGTTGGTGGGTATGTGTACAACTCTCACAAGGGACTTCTTGCTTTTATCATTTCTCATCTCTACCTATACCACTTTTACATCCTGGTTTCCTGAACTTAGGTCACCTCCTCTTGTGTTAATCCCGTGATTAATTGAGAGCCACCTTTCTGCCTTTGGCCTTTTCTATATGTGCTATACCCTTCAATATTTGGCTCCCAATTTGTCACCCTACAGCCATCTGTCAGTTATTTAGGGGGTGATGTCAGAGGACTGTAGAATTATAAATATTACACCCTTGTTCAAAAACAAAAGGTTAAGATAAGCTCAGCAATTAAAAACCAGTCAATTTAACTTTGGTAGGGATATTTCTAGAAATAATTAATCAGGACAAAGTTAATAATCATGTAGAAAACTATGGATTAATTCAGAATACCAAGTCTGGATTGTCTAATGGAGAACCAAATATAATTGTTTGGAGTCTTCCGAAGAGGTGATGGTGTTGAGCGGAATACTGTTGATGTGATATACGTGGACTGCGATGCAGTGCCACACAACAGATTTCAGAAAAGTTATAGCTCATGGAATAAAAAGGAAAGTAGCAAGATGGTTACAAAATTGGCTGAGGGCTTGGAAAAGTACTATTAATGGACCAGTTTTGAGCTGGAGAAAGGTTTGCAGTAGAATTCGCTGAGAGTCAGTAGTGGAACTTTATACATAATCTCACTGTGCAGGGAACAGTGCAGACAATACAAACATTGGGAGTATTGTGAACTATGAGGAGGACAGTGTAGAACTTCAAAAGGACATTGACAGGTTGGTTGAGTAGGCAGATAGGTGACAAATGAAGTTCAAAGCAGAGAATTGTGAGGTGATGCACTTTGGTACAAAGTTCATGTAGAGACCAGTATAAATTAAAGGCTACTATTCTAAAGAGTTTTCGGGTGCAGAGACCTGGTATATAAGTGCATAGGTCAGTAAAGGTGGCAGGACAGAAGAGAGCTGTTAATCAAGAATGTGGTATTCTAGGCTTTATTAATAGCATCAAGTACAAAGGCGTGTAAAAGGAGTTGATGTGAATTATATAAGACACTGGTTAGACCTCAGCTGAAGTATTGTGTACAGTTCTAAGTGCCACATCTTAAAGATTTGAATGCATTCAGAGTGTGCAAGTTATGAAGGTAAATTGAAGAAATTGAGCTGTTTTCCTTGGAGAGAATGATTCCAGAGATGAGAAGCTTCAGTTATGAGAAAAGCTTGGAGATATTCGGGATGTCTTTCTTGAAGAAGAGAAGGTGAGCAGGTGCTTTGATTGGACTTCTCAAAATCATGAGTCTGGACAGAGTGAACAGCGAGAAACTGTTCCCATTATAAACAAATCAGGAATCGGAAGGCACAGTTTTAAAATGATTTGCAAAAGAAATTGAAGTAAGAAAAAGCTTTTTTCACACAGTGGGTAGTTTGGGTCTGGCATTCAGTGCCTGGATCATCCAATGCCTTTTTGAATCATTCCTATTTAAATAATGTGCAGGATTATAGGGAAAAGACAGGGGATTAGCACTAAGGCCAAAATGCTCAGCTCCAGACTAAACATGACAGACCAAGTAGCCTCTTTCTCCACTAAAACTCGGAGATTTTTATTTCTGCTGTGATCTGTTTTGTTTTGATGCTATATGTATTCAGGTACAGAGTCTTCAGTTTTATCCTTTTATTATTTTTGCAGCCTCTAGCCTTATCTGTTGATTCACTTAGATTTGTACTCTGCATTCCTTTGTGTCACAGTTTTTGTCATTTCCCAGACTAATTTTTTTCTCTTTTGCCTTGTCTCTACTCTTTGAATCACCACTTCTTCACAAATTTGACCCGTTTCCCCACTTGAGTTGAAAACCATCTCTGCTCCCTAGTGCTCGTTAAAACACTGGCCCCAGGATAGTTTGGGTGGAGACCGTCCCCATCGTGCAAACCCCACTTTTCCTAGTACTGGTGCCATTGCCCCATGAGCTAGAACTCACTTCTACCACACCAGTTTTGAGTCATCTGTTCATATCTCCAATCTTATGTGCCTTATGCCAATTTGCATATGGCATAAATAATAGTGCAGAGATAATGACCTTTTGAAGTTCTGCTTAATGTGATGCTTAACTCCTCATTCTCTTTATGCAGAACTGCTTTCCTTGTTCTGTCATTGGACCAACAAGGACCATAATGACTGGATCCTCCCCCTCCCAATGTAAGCTCCTCTCCAACCTGAACGGATGCCCTGAATCCTGGCATTAGCCAAACAATACAGTTCTCTAGACTCTTGTTCTTTGTTGCAGAGAACAGTGTCAATCCCTCTCTCTGTCCACTACTCCTACTATATTTCTTTTTGCTCCACCCATTTAAATGGCATGCTGCACCACAGTGCTTTGCTCAGTTAGTTCATTCCCCTGCATCTCTTATTCTTCCACTTTGTTGGGATGAGATTATCGATTCCCTCTGGATCCATTGCTTGTTTGAGCTGCAGTCATGTTTCCCTGTTCCTGACCACTGATTAAATCAGAAGGCCCAAATCCAACAGGGTTTGACCAGCTCCTGGTTCAAAATATCCAGTCCTGAAGAAAGGTAATACCTGAAACTTTGACTGCTCCTTTCCTCCAGACACTGCCTGGGCTGCTGTGTTCTTCCAGCCTTCAGTTTGTCTGCCTTGGATTCCAGCATCTGCAGGTTTCTTGTCTCTTCCCCTTCCCCTTCCCCGAATGTGTTGCTGTGTTTGACTCAGGTCATACCAGCCCCCAGGAGCTCTCTCAGGCTGATGTATCACTTGTGATGAGTCACAATCCTTAATGTGTTTTAATTATTCAGTTTATTTCATCCTTTTATTTAGTATCATTTATAATATATTAATCTTACCACCTGTTCCTATACTGTTTTAAATCCAAATACTCACCAAACAGCTAACTTCTTCCCTTCATGGAGAACCAATTCCTACAGGATGAATAGGAAAAACAAAACAGCACCTCTCAACTAACTCCCTTGCACAGCTCTCAGTACCCTGCTCAATTGCAACCCATGTTAATTTGCACCGAGCTGCTTTTGTTTATAGGCTGTTCAGTTAGCTCAGCCCCAGGTTAAAAAAAAATGAAGCAAGTTTCCTGAATTAATTACCTTCAGCTACTCTCAGCCAGAGAATTCAAGGTCCCTGTTTTAGCCTGGATGAAATGTGGTTTGTAAATAGTCAATGACATTACATGTTAAATACAAACAAAATTCAGTTTTTAGATCAAGTTTAAGTTTTCCCAAACTGGTCCAATTCCCAGCACTCTGGTCAAAGTTGCATTCGGTCAATACATTGCTCACTAGCTGCTGAGATTCTGAGCCTTGTACAGGAAGAAATAAGAAAAGTGGCATTCACCACAAATAAACTAATCCTCAAGATACCCTCACCAAGTGGGTAGCAGTGGAAATTGTGAAGAAACTGGCAGCTCCAAATGTACAAAGCCATTCTAAGCCAATTGCGTTAAAGTAATGGCAGATTTAAAAACCCAACTGATAATCTGTCCCCTACTGCATTTGAACAAACATGTCAAATGTCCTGTGATTCAAACACCTCACATTGGATTATAGAGAAATCAATATCAATGATATCTCAATCCAAGTATCGTTTTCCAGAGGTTTTCCTTTCTTTATTTCATTATTCTAATCCCCATTTTTTTTTTCATCTCCGTGTTCTTGCTTTCCTGGAGTCCAGTTTCCCTTTAGTACCACAGTCAAGCAATGACTGGAATGCACAAGGGTTCAGTGCCAGCACACTATTGAACTGCATGGGGCATCACAGTCATGTTCAATTTGTTGTCACCCAATGCCCATATATACAGAATTCCCTCAGCAGCGATTGCTTCACACCTCCCGAATGAGGCTGGGACTTCTCTGATTTGCTTTTTGCTTTGATGCAGAAACTGTTTCTAAGCAATTTATCTTGTTAGGATTGGGCCTGCTCCCAGGATCAAGGAAGGGATTGGTAATTGGGAAATATTTTTAAGAGCCCTCTACCATCTGCTGATATGCTGTCTGGCCAGTGAATTGCTTTGACTGCTTAAGTGTGCATGTTGATAATGACAATAACTCTGGCTGTCTTTGTAACTTGCTAGGGCCCACACTGCTGTTGACCAGTGATATTATTAGGCAGCGTCTGGGTGCATCAGCACTGGACAGGTAAGAGTGCTGTGTAAGAATATCAACAATCTAGTACTGTATAGTATCTAATAATGTGTTGTCCCAGAATTGCAGTTCGTAACTGGGATTTAGTTGCTATCTGGTGAGATGTGATTTTTGGGACAGATGATTTCATAGAGGTATTGTTTTGTTAGGTTGTTAATAGCCAACATTTCCTGATATAACTTTATCCCGAATTTAGTTACATGCTTCAATCAAATCCTAGTTGATTTCTCAAAGATCGATCAGATGTTTGTTTATCAATGGGGATTTAGGGGAAGGTAGTGGTGTAATGGTTATGGCACTGCATCAGTAATCTAGAGCTCCAGGCTGGAGGGCCCATGGGTTTGAATCCCACTATGGCACATGGTGAAATTTGAATTCTGTAAAAGAAAAATCTGGAATTAAGAGCTGGTCCAATGGTAACTGTGTTGTCCATTGCTATAAAAACCTATGTGGTTCACCACTGTCCTTTAAAGAAAGGAAATCTGCTATCCTTCCCTCATCTGGCCTATATGTGACTCCAGATCCACAGTAATATGGAACAAAAATAGAAGTTGCTGGAAAAGCTCAGCAGGTCTGGCAACATCTGTGACGAAAAATCGGAGTTGATGCTTCGGGTCTAGCGACCCTTCCTCAGAATTGATGGTAGCTAGGAAAACGTTGGTTTATATGCAGAAGATAGGATGCGAGGAGGGTGTAAGGAGTAAACAATAGGTGAGAATAGAGCCCAAAGAGAGAGAACAGTTGGACAGACAAAGAAGTTGATAACGATCTGGCGAGGAGGGGGCTTTTAGTGACTAACAATAGGTAGTGTGTAATGGCAGGCTATGTGATAACAAGGCCTGGTGTGTGGGGTAGGGGGCTAGGACATGGGAGAGTTCAGACTGATTTGAGTCCAGAAGGCTGCAGGGCCTCCAAGCGGAAAATAAGGTGTTGTTCTTCCAGCTTGTGCTGAGCTTCGCTGGAGCATTGAAGCGTGCATGAGACAGATGTTGTCCAGAAAACAGGGTGGTGTGTTAAAGTGTCAGGCAACTGGAAGCTCAGGGTCTTTTTTGCGAGTAGAACGTAATGTTCTGCAAAGTGGCCACCCAGTCTACACTTCATTTACCCAGTGTAGAGGAGACCACACTGTGAGCAGCGAATGCAGTAGACTAGATTGTGGGAAGTGCAGGTAAAGCACTGCTTCACCTGGAAGGTATGTTTGGGCCCTTGGATACTGAGGAGGGGGGGAGGTAAATGGGCAGGTGTTACACCTTCGCCGGTTACAGGGCAAGGTGCTGTGGGGTTGTGGGGTGGGTGTGTTGGGACTGAAGGAAGAGTGGACCAGGGTGTCCTGGAGGGAAAGGTCCCTGCAGAAGGCGGGCAAGGGAGGAGAAGGGAATATGTGTCTAGGGTAGTATCTCGCTGGAGATAGTGGAAATAGCGTCTGATGATCTTCCGGGATGTGGATGTTGGTGGGATGGTAGGTAAAGACAAGGGGAACCCAATTGCTGTTGCGGGAGGGAAGAGAAGGGGTGAGGGCGGAAGTGCAGGAGATGGGTCAGACCAAGTTGAGGGCCCTGTCAACAGCAGTGCTGTGGAGTCCTTGGTTGAGAAAGAAGATGGACATTTTGGAGGCTTCCTTGTCGAAGTTAGCTTCATCTGAGCATATGTGACAGAGACAGAGGAACTGAGCGAATGAAATGGGAGTCTTTACCGGAAGCAGGGTGTGGGAATGTATAGTCCAGGTAGCTGTGGGAGTCAGTGGGTTTGTAATGGATATTAGTGGCCAGTCTATCCCCAGAAATGGAAACAGATGTCGAGGAAGAGAAGGGAGGAGTCAGAGATAGCCCAGGTGAAAGTGAGGGCAAGGTGGAATTGGAAGCAAAATTGATCAACTTTTCCAATTCCAGACAAGAGAGAGAAGCAACATCGATGATATCATTGATATATCAGAGAAAGAGTTGTGGGTGGGGCCGGAATAAGACTGGAACAGGGAATGAACATGTGGCTCGCTCTTAACTGCCTTCTGAAATCACCTAGAAAGCCAATCAGTTCACGTGTGATATTGATGGGCAAAAGAGTGCTGGCCTCTCCAGTGATCCCAGACAAGAATAAAGAAAATAAAAAAAGTCTTGGCAAAGTTGAGATGCACTGTAGTCCTCCTCACAGGCAGGTTTCTCCTAGGAATATTTGAAGTCCTTGTTTTTAGTTTCATTATTGATTCCAGATTCTTGCCCAAGAGTCTTGTGTGTTCTTGGAACATAATATGCGCACACAAAATTGCTTCAGAATATCATATACATATTTGTATAAACATTATATAATATAAACTTATGATCTGTTTGTACACACACATTTTCATTTTCTCTCTTTCCCCCCCACCACGCACACGCACAATATTTTCAGGCATAGCTGATTGGGCTAGGAAGCAGGGTTCTGTTTTAGTGAGCAGTGCCACAAAAGGGATCTGTGTTAAGCTTCAATGCCTCCTCCATGGCACACGGAATTGTGAAGCTGCTTACGTCTCGCAGATCTTCTGCCCTTCATCCAAAGTGACTGAAACAAATGACTAGTCAATTATTTTGTTCCTATCTGTGGGAGCATGCCATGTGAACATTGGCTAATGCTTTTCCCATCATTACATGGTGACTACATTGAGGGGGGGGGAAAAAATTCATTGTAATGCTCATTCTGATCGTGAAAAGCCGTGTACGATGCTGATGTATTTATAATATCACTAATCTAATAATGCATAGGCCCAGGCTGATGCTTCTGGGAATGAACAAAGGAAATCTGCTGCCCTTGCCTGATCTGGCCAACATGTGACACCAGACCCTCTGAAATGGCCTCACAGGCCACAGATCAATTAGGAATGGATAACAAGTGTTGTTGGCCCTGCCAGCAAAATCCAGATCCCATGAAAGAGTAAAAAAAAATGTTGAGATATAAATGTGGTGATGGTAATAAGTAGATTGGCACGGAATAGTTCCTTCTATTTTACTTGTAACTATCTTAGAGCATTGTTTGAGAATGAAACAAAATCTGTCAATTGTCATACAATTCGAAGTTCTTCCTTTTACCTACAGTGTCATTCCTTATGCCTAATGCTCAGGAAGTACTGTATCTTTAGGAGATCTTACATGTGAAACAGGAAGTAGGAGATTTTCATGTCTTTAATCTTGCCTGGGAACTGTGCCTTCATATGTGTACTGGATGGGCATGCAATTATAACTGAATTACTTCAGAATCTGTTTCTTTTCAGCCAATGGCCAAAATTATGTTCTGAAATCTTGAGGTTTTTTTGTTGCCCAAAGTAGATGGGTGAGATATTAATGCATCGTTTGGAGCAGGAGGAGGTGGGAAACTAGCTGTCATATTGTGCCAACTACTTCTACTGACACTCTGTTGATATTACTGTCTCATGGCTGTAACAACCACTGCTTCAGCCTAGCTCAAACATAACTCCAGGTACCATATAGGCTTGTCTTCCCAAACTTATAAATGCACAGTATAGTTCAAACACACTCAAAAGCTGTAAGCACCTGCCATTTTACTTTGCTGGAATACTTGTGGGAAAAACCTCCATTCATTATTGGAAACTTCTGATGCTGCAACAGTATTCTCTGCAAAAATAGCAGTGAAACATACGTTGTATTGTTTCAACAAATAACACATGATAACTAATATTGGTTAATGGGATAGCATTTGTGGTAGAGTCCCTGCCAGAAGGTCCGAAATCAAGTCCCACCTGCCCCAGAGGTGGGTAATAACATGTCCAAATAAGTTGATTAAAAATATGTATCATTGTTCAAGGAACTGTTGCCTAACCCACCTAAAAAATCTTTTCTTTATCCCCCACTGAATCATGAGAGTCAAAACCTGTGTAAATGAAATGAATTCACATCAGTTAAATTTTCCATATTTATTTATGTATTCATCATGATGGTTTGCAGTGCCTGGGCCTTGCCTGAATGTACCTGCCCATACCTGGTTTAGTTTGGACCTGGCAATCCATGGGAGGTAGTGCCATTTGTGGGCAAGTGTTGCTGACTCCAACTTGATGCTCAGTGATGTCTTGCTGTAGTGTTTCCTCCCCATTGACATTGATAGTTGTCACATAAAGTAGAGTAGTTCCATAGGCTGCACTGTGGGTAAACAGTCAGTGTTTTGATCCCCTTTTGCAGCATCCATGAATACCGTCTGTCAGGCTGGCTGGCCCAGCAAGAGGATATCCACCGCATTGTGTTGTACCAAACTGACTACAGCATGACACCTTGGACCCAACGCTGCATTCGGCAGGCAGACTGCATCCTTATTGTCGGACTTGGAGACCAAGAGCCCAGTTTGGGAGAGGTAGTGTGAGACCCTACGTAGCATTTGTGCACTAAAACTGGCTTATTCCCTATAACCTATTGTGTGAATTGGTTGATGGATGTAGTTGTTTGCAGCAACTTGATGTGACTGAAGAAAAACCCACTGGCTGTGATAATGAGGGAACAGTAGGGGAGCAGAATAGTAGAGCTGCAGAAAGGCAGAAAAGAAATTGTCCCAGCCACTTGGGGGAATAGAACTTAAGACATTTGAATTCCTTGAATTTTGGATATTTCTGAAACGTGCTAATTACATTGCAAAATTTTTACATATTTGGCCGAGAAGGAATTTTAATTTAAAGTATATTACAATAATTTAGATATCACCCTTGGAGAAACTCCCCCCTTATCTTCGATTAATGTGCTGTAATCTTTCATTGCCCACCTGAGGGAGCAGGCAGAGCTTCAATTTCATGTCTTAGTCAATAGTGCAGCACACCCTCCGTACTGCTGCCTGCATTGCCATCACACCATAGATCATAGAATCGTACAATCCCCAGTGTGGCAGCAGGCCATTCGGCTCATCAAGTCTGCACTGACCGTCCAGACCCACCCACCCCACCTTATCCCTGTAACCCCACATTTCCCATGGCTGATTCATCTAACCTGCTCATCCCTGGATACTATGCGGCAATTTAGTGTGGCCAATCCACCTACCCTGCACATTTTTGGACTGTGGGAGGAAACCGGAACACCCATAGGAAACCCGCACAGTCGCAGAGAGAATGTGCAAACTCCACACAGCCTGAGGTTGGAATCAAACCCGGGTCCCTGAGGCAGCAGTGCTAACCACTGTGCCGCCATCTGCACAGATTTTTTTTTTGCTAGACGTTTGTGTTTTGAGCAAACCATCGAGCGTTGTGTTGGGATTGGACACAACACAAAGCCAGCCCATGCTGTGTCACAATTCAAGAAAACAGATAGTTGGAGTTATTCACTTGATATGCTTGTATTACCAACCTATGCTTTCTATCATCTTGCTTCTGGTGGCCTGAAATGGAGAAATACAGGGGCGTGGAGGCACAATGACAGTGTCGCTAATCTAATAATCCAGAGGCCCTGAGGATAATTCTTTGGTCCATGGGTTCCAATCCCACCGTGGTAATCGGTGAAAATTAAATTTGATTAATACAATCTGGAATATAAAACTAGTCTGAGTAACGGTGGCTATGCCGACCATCATAGATTGTGGCAAAACATCCATCTAATTGGCTGAAGTCCTTTTAAAGAAGAAAATCTGCCATCCTTACTCACACATTATTCCAGATCCACTGCAGTGTGGTTGGTTTTTAACTGCCCCACCAAAATGATGCAGCAACCCACTCAGTTAAGGATGGAAAACAAGTGTTTGCCCCTGCCAGTGATTCCCATGTTTCATGAAAGAATTTTTATTTTGGAAGCAGCACATTCGCGTACATAAGGAGAAAAGACAAGGGATCCTTCCAGATGTGACATGTTATTTTTAAGACGTGTTCCACTTTTTCTGTTAAAACAAACTTTGTAAGGCAATAATAATGCAATTGTTTGGAAATTGTGAGGATGATTTGTATTTGTTCTCATCCATGAATGCTGGATGGCTGTATGCCAAGATCACAGCAATTTGAATAGAATCTATGCTCTGGCACAAGAGGGGGATTTTCCTGTGTGCTGGTTCCTGGATGCTGTACCACAGGCAGTGCTTTCTTCTCCCACTGGAGATGTACTAAACCAGTGCGATGGATGAGAAACTACCAGTTCTGCAGGGAGACTGGTGAAGCTGGAATCATTCTCCTTAAGGTCAGGAATGTTAAAACAGATGTAGTAGAACTGTTCGAAACCTTGAAAAGTTCAGAAATCAAGCCCTACTATTCCAGGTTGTCACAAAATTTAAAGATTTTTTTGAAGTGCACAGGGTTCCCAGTTTACTTTTCCTTTAGACTCAGGTTGACCGAAAATACAAGCCAGGATTTTACACTTGACAAAAATTCCTATTTAACACAAATAACTAGAATCTAGCGACAAGTAAACAATTCTAAACTGTCAGCATACATCTGTACTGGTTAAAACTCTAACCCCTTCATAAAACTCATCGCCTTGTGTGCCTTAGCATTACAAATGCACATCTAAATACTGCTTAAATGTTATGAGGGTTTCTGTCTCCATCACCTTACAAGCAGTGGAAGCAGAAAGTGCTGAAAATCACAGTGGCTCAGGCAGCATCCATGGAGAGAGAGCAAGCTAACGTTTTGAGTCTAGATGACTCTTCATCTGAGCTGGTGTGAAGTGTGGAGGGGACAGCATTTATGCAATAGTGGATCAGCATCCTTTCTCCCCAACACTCTCCTGCCCTCTCCTACTATAGCATAAATGCTTCCCCCTCCACACTTCGCTCAGCTCTGATGAAGAGTCGTCTAGACTTGGAATGTTAGCTTGTTCTCTCTCCACGGACGCTATGTGACCCGCTGTGATTTCCAGCATTTTTTGTTTTCAGTACAGATTCCAGCATCTGCAGTAAATTGCTCCTACCTTACAAGCAGTATCAGGTAACTTTAAAAAAAGTACACCAATCCTTTCCATAATCTTGGTTTTTAAAATAGTCCTTTCTCCCTTTTCAGAGTATAATCAAAAATACAGAAAAATAAAAAGAGACAATCTTTGTATTTGTACTCTTACAGTTCTCCATCCAGGCTCCTCTCACGTTGAGTATGTGTCTACACAGCTAGTAGGTTTTCCTTGTCTTTATTGGAACTTCATATTTCTCTGCACTCCATCTCTGCAGCTGGAACAGATGTTAGAGAACACAGCCGTACGGGCACTGAAACAGCTCATCCTTTTACACAAGGAAGATGGTCCCAGTCCTTCCCGGACCGTGGAGTGGTTGAACATGAGGAGCTGGTGTTCCGGGCACTTCCACATCAAATGTCCTCGCAGGATCTTCTCTCGTCGGAGCCTCCAAAAATTGGTAACTGGGCTTGGGCTATCTGACCATGGGTGACTGCGGAAATGCAGATCTGTGAGCGAGGTGGGTAAAATGGGAATAACTGACTTACTGTGGGTAGCTTGCTGGGAGTGTGTGGATTGCAGGATTTGGTTATGAGGTGGGAATGGGCTAGAGCAAGCAATGTTAAGTGAGGTAGAAGGAAATTGGGAGGGACAAGGACTAATTATCATTCTTCTTTCAGAGGGAGATGTATGAAAAACTATTTGAAAAAACAGCAGATCGACACAGCGACTTTTCTCGACTGGCCCGAATCCTCACAGGAAACACAATCGCACTGGTCTTAGGAGGGGGAGGAGCCAGGTAACTGGAGTTATATTATCAGTTCAGATGTTGTTAGTAGTGAGGAGTGGCAGTTGGAGCGGGCTGCAAAATGCTTTTGCACTTGATCCTCTCCCCACCCGACCCCGGAACCCTCCATCATTAAGTGGTGTATCTACTTTCCATGTTGTATAGGAATGTCACTGGTGCACTCATTACCTTTCTCGATTCTATGGAAGTGCATTTTTCCAGAAGTTCCTTGGGATAGCAGGGATGTTTATTTATTTAAAATAGTACTGATGGAAAAAACAGTGTTAAAAAGCTCAGATTCTCATTGATACTTCAATCTATCTTGCCTAGAATTCTGACTGAATCTTTTGCCCCTCCTTGAAGGTCTCCATCAGTGTTTGGCCCCATAAAGGGTCTGTTCTTTTCTTCTTTCTCACTCTCCCACCTTCTGCACATGTGAAGAGCTTCCTGCTCCCCAGCCAAGCCTAGCTTGATCTTGCCTGTGTGGTGGCTTTCGGTAAATAAAGAACAATACAGCACAGGACCAGGCCCTTGGCCCTCTAACCCTTCGCCGACGCATGTTGCTCTTCTGTACTAAAACTGTCTTCACGTAGAGGATCCCCATCTCTCTATTCCTTTCCTATTCATGTATTCGTTCGGGTGTTTCTTGAATGCTGCCATTGTGTCTGCTTCCACCACCTCCTCAGGCAGCGCGTCCCAGGCATCGCCACCCTTTGTGTGAAAAACTTGCCTCACACATCTCTTCTAAACTTTGCCCCTGCTGCACCTCGAACCTGTATCTCTTAGTAATTAACACCTCACCCTGTGGAAAAAGCCTCGTGCTTCCCACTGTATCCATGCCATTCACAATCTTATAAACTTGTATCAGGTTGCCCCTCAACCTCCTGCATTCCAGTGAAAACAAACCCAGTCTATCCAACCTTTCTTCATAGCTAAAATCCCCTATACCAGGCAACGTCCTGGTAAACTTTTTCTGTACCCTCTCCAAAGCATCCACATCCTTCTGGTAGTGTGGTGACCAGAACTGTATGCAACATTGCAAGTGTGGCCTAACTAAAGTTCTATAAAGCTGCAGCATAACTTGCCTGTCCTTATACTCAATGCCCCTTCCAATGAAGGCAAGCATGCCATAGGCCTTTCTTTACTGCCTTATCTACCTGTGCTGCTACCTTCAGTGATCTGTGGACCAGCATATGAGGTGGGAGATCCCTCCGCACATCAGTAGTCCTAAGGGTTCTGCCATTCACTGTATCATTTCCACCTGTACTTGACTTTACAAAATGCATCGCTTCACCTTTGCCCGGATTAAACTCCATCTGCCATTTTTCTGCCTCTGACTGATCTATATTCTGCTGTAACCTCTGACAATCCTCCACACTATCCGCAACCGCACCAAGCTTTGTATCAACTGCAAACTTAGTAATTAGACCAGCCACATAGAAACATAGAATATAGGAGCAGGAGGAGGCCTTTCGATTCTTCAAGCCTGCTCTACCATTCTTCACAATCATGGCTGATCATCCATCTCAATAGCCTAATCCTGCTTTCTCCCCATAAGCTTTGAACCCTTTCACCCCAAGTGCTATATCTAGTCGGCTCTTTACAACCCCGTTTTCCTCCAAATCATTAATGTAGTCCACAAGCGGCAGAGGCTCCAGGACTGTTCTCTGTGGAACACCATTATTCACAACCCTCCATTCCGAAAAGCATCCTCTGTCTGTCTCCTATGACTAATCCAGTTCTGTACACAAAGATAGTAGGAACTGCAGATGCTAGAGCATCTGAGATAACAAGGTGTCGAGCTGGATGAACACAGCAGGCCAAGCAGCTAAAATGTCAGCCTTCCTGCTCCTCTGATGCTGCTTGGCCTCCTGTGTTCATCCAGCTCTACACCTTGTTATCTCAGTTCTGTACCCATCTTGCCAGCTCACCCTGGCCCAGTGTCTTTTTGATTAACAATCTGTGCTTTACAGTGTCATGCATTGGAAGAGTTGGATCAGACTGAGCTGCTCCTATTGCACTGGTGTTGATGTCAGTGTAGATATAGTGCCAGGGAGCCTACAAAACTCAGCTTCTGGGATGGGGTTTAAAGTAACAGCATTCTGACTGTGACAATCTCCGTAGAAGCTAGTATTCTTTAAAGAGAAATTTGACCTTCAGGTTAAACTGAAAGAATAACAGAAACCATAGACTTTACATTTAATTTTACTGTAACAAATGACTAAAAAATTAACTCACTATTTTCATTTGTATGTATTCTATACTTTAAACTATATAAATTGTAGCTTTTTACTTATCACTCATTGCACCCTTCATGAAGTTATAGTACTTATCGCAAACAGTTCAGAGTTGCTGCTTTTGTCCTTTCCCAGTTGGATAACTTCAAATCCCAGACATGGCTCTCATTGTGAGGATTGCACTGCAAACTACTTCCTCTAGCTTCAAACTAGGCAAATCTTCCAACCTCTAACTCACCAAAAACTCAGTCTTACATCCGAGTCTGAGACCCACCTGCTTTCTGGACAGAGAACAATAGAATTAACATCTGAGGAAGGGTCACTGGACCAAAACGTTAACTCTGATTTTTTTCTTCACAGATGCTGCCAGACCTGCTGAGCTTTTGCAGCAACTTCTGTTTTTGTTCCAGAGTTAACATTTTGTCTGCATAAGGTGCAGACCTGATTGGCACCGTTCCAGCTCTCTACATCTCGGTTAACTCCAGACCACAGAAGGCAACATAGCTCTTGTCTATCTGTGATATCCAAAGAGACCTGGGGGTTCAGCTGCATAGATCTTTAAAATGTCACAAACAGGCCCAGAAAACAACTAAGAAAGCTAATTGAATGCTGGCTTTCATGTCTAAAGGACTGGTGTATAAAAGTTATGCTGCAATTATACAAAACCCAGGTTAGACCCCACTAGGAGTCCAGCTCTAGGTACCACACCTTAGGAAGGATACATTGGCCTTGGTATAAGTATAGCGTAGTTTTACAAAAATGATACCTGGACTTCAGAGGCTAAATTATCAGGTGAGGTCATATAAATGGGGCCTTTTTTGACTAGGATTTAGAAGGTTAGGGGGTGAACTGATCGACATTTCAAGACTGTGTACAGGGGTAGCAAGAACTGCAGATGCTGGAGTCAGAGTTAATACAGTGTGGAGCCGGAGGAACACAGCAAGTCAATCAGCCTCAGAGGAGCAGGAAAGTCAATGTTTCAGGTCACGACCCTTCATCAGGACTGAAGAGAGGGAAGGGAGCTAGGAAATAAATAGAAGAAAGAGAGGTGGGGCTGGGGGAATGTAAGTGGGATGGCGATAGGTGGATACAAGTAGGGGTATTGGGGATTAGTCAGTGGAAAGGGTGGGGCGGATAGATGGGAAAGAGCATGGACAGGTGGTGTCAGGTCAAGGAGGTGCGGATGAGGGGGAGGGTTGGACATCGGATGAGGCCAGGGGTGAGGAGATTTTGAAACTGGTGAATTCTGTGTTTGGGCCATCAGGCTGTAGGCTCCCGAGGCGGAATATGAGGTGTTGCTCCTCCAGTTTGGCGTCATTGTGGCACTGGAGGAGGCCCGGGATAGTCATGTCACCAAAGGAGAGGGAGGAGGTGTTAAAATGGTTAACGACTAACTGGTGTTGATTATAGCTTACAGAGTGTAGATGCTCCGCGAATTAGTCACCGAGTCAGCGCTTGGTCTCAGCAATGTAGAGGAGGTCATGTCGGGAGCAATGGATACAGTAGACCAGGTTGGAGGATATACAGGTGAACCCTGTCAGATATGGAAAGTTTGTCTTGAGCCTCAGATGGAGGTGAGAGGGGATGTGTAGGGCCAGGTGTAGCGCCTCGTGCGGTTGCAGGGAAAGGTGCCAGGGTTGGTGGGGAGTGTGGAGCAGACAAGTGAGTCGTGGAATGAGCAGTCCTTGAAGTAGCAGGATGTCTGGGAGTGGAACGCTTCATTTTGGGAGCAGATGCGGCAGAGGCGGAGGAATTGGGAGTAAGGGATTGTATTCTTGCAGGAAGTTGGGTGAGAGGAGGTGCATTTCTGGTCACCCTGCTACAGGAAGGATATTATTAAATTGGAGAGGGTGCAGAAAAGATTCACAAGGATATTCCTGGGATTAGAGGGTTTGAGTTATAAGGAGAGGCTGGATAAGCTGGGAATTCTTTCATTAGAGCGTAGGAGGCTGATGGGGGACCTTGTAAAGGTTTATAAAATCATGAAGGGCATAGTTAAAGTGAACAGCAAAGGTCTTCTGTCTAGGGTTTGGAAGTTCAAAACTAGATAGCATAATTTTAAGGTGAGAGGAGAAAAATCTGAAAGGGATCTGAAAGGCAACTTTTCACACAGAGGGTGGTACATAGATGGAATAAACTTCTAGAGGAAGTGGTAGATGCAGGTACAGTTACAATATTTAAAAGGCATTTGTACAAATACATGAATAGGCAAGGTTTAGAAGGATATGGGACTAGTTTAGTTTGGGAAACTTGGTCGACTTGGACAAGTTGGACCAAAGGGTCTGTTTCCGTACAGTATGACTGTCACTCTGTATTAACAGGAAAGGACAGAATAGACAAAGCTAAACCATTTTCACTGGTTTGAGACTCTAGAACTAGGGGGCACAGTCTTAGAATGAGGGCCAGACCATTCTGGAGAAATATTAGGAACCATTTCTATACACAAAGGGTGGCAAAGGTTTGGAACTCTCTTCAACAAACAGGAGTAGATGCTGGATCAGTTGTTATTTTTAAATTTGAGGTAAACTTTCCTTAAACAAAAGTGTTAAGGAATGAGGGCCAAAAGCAGGTATTTGGAGTTGGGCCAATGATCAGCTATGATCTTGCTGAATGACGGAACAGGCTTAAGAATAGCCTACTTCTGTTCCTATGTTTCCTATATTGTTGGGTTAAGTGGAAGCTTGTAACCTGATGTCAAAATGGTTTCCCCTGTTATCCTCATCATGGCAATGGAAACACATACTATTTTTATCTTAAAAGTAAAATTTATTAGTTATTCTACATCCCAACTTCTTTTTGTCATAGAAGTAAAAGGGATGGTTTGTTGCACAACTGTTTGGTAAGTGTTTTGTATTATAGTTATCTGGGACTTTGGGAGACTTGTGGTCTACTCATTATGGGCTCAAATCATGCTGTCATGTGTTTTATTTTCATCTTATTCTAGATATTTTCTAATTAACCTGTTCATAGATGGTATGACACACTTCTGGAACAGATAGGAATTGAACCTAGGCCTCCTGGCTCAGAGGAAGGGATGCTACCACTGTACCACAAGGACCCTAATACTGTTGTCATTTTTTTCCCCTTTTTCATCATCTTCTTTTTCATTTAATCTATGTTTCTAATCACCCTGTTCAATGATGTTATTACTGCTGGAGCAGGTAGGTCTTGAACCCAGGCCTCTCACTTCAGGGGTAGGGACACTACCACTGTGCCACAAGAGGACTCAATAGTACCGTCATTTTTTTTTTTCAAGTTAACCTATTTTTCTAATCAGTACTGTCCATTGTCCCTAAACCCAAAAACCTTGCACCTTGCACCTGGTCCCTCAATAAAGCAATGTGAGTCTTCCTCCAATCTCTAAGTTTGGTTGGTTTAATTGTTACTGTCGGACAGTTTCCTGCACAGGCCATCTTACCTTTATTGTCTCCCCTGCATTTAAAGCAACAGCCCCAAAATATAGCCGTCTTTTAAACCAGAAAATGCAATCCTAAAACGTCATAATCACCCATACCTCAATTATAGCATTAACACACATTTAAGGCAAGGACCACCCACTCCCTCTGAATTTTGTAACTAGACTTTCATATTGTCAATACTACTTGTTGCATCTCACATAGAGTGCTGTTTGCAAAGATGTGCAGCAGAGGACAGGATGAAGCTAGGCTTCCGAAAGCAATCAGCCAGGCTGCAGGAATGTTTGAATTCTTGTGTGTGAGAGGTTGTGTTTTAGAAGTTTCAATGGTGATTGTAACAGTGCTATCTCCATCCAAACCTGCACTCTCCTGCTTTCTCTTACTCTCCCCTTTCACCTCACCTTCTCTCCTCCATTCCAACATCAACCCATCCCATTATCTCCCACCACCCCCTTCCCTCTTCGTCACCTGCTCTCTTCCTATTGTTGGCCCTATCAGGGGATGCTCACATGTCGGTGTAATGAAGGCCATGGAGGAGATTGGAATCCCGGTCGATATTGTTGGAGGAACCTCTATTGGGTCGTTTATTGGGGCATTATATGCTGAGGAGCGGAGTGCAGTGAGGACGAAGCAGAGAGCAAGAGAGTGGGCAAACGTAAGTCTTTTTCCAGATTTGAATTGTTTATCCTCCACACAACTGATCCAGAAACATAAGAACACTTCACACAACTTCAAGATAATCCTGAGCTCAACTATCCACTAAAGATGTTCTGAAATGTAGCTACTCTCTTAATTTTTCCTTTCATAAACCATTTGACCTGTTCTGAAATACACATGTCTCTCTTCTTTCAAACATTATCTCCAATTGTGTATTCCACCACCTCTGATTTTAAATAATAAAGTTTCTCCTACTCTGTCTGAAAAATTTTGCATTTACTCTTATATTTACATCCCATTTGTTCCTGTCCCCTCAGCCACTGGGAATAGTCCTTCTCACTCCTTCAGAATTTTACGTCTCTTGAAATCACCCATTCCAACAAAAAGAGCTTCAAATTTTCTAGTCGAACTTTATTTGCATTTCCAAATAAAAGGCAGCTCTCTGGTGAATCTGGTCATTTTTAAACAGAATCTTTTTAGCTTGACACGACTGCTTTTTTAATAAAAATTGATTTAGCCAGAGTTCAAAACTCATCACCATATGTTTAGCTTTCTTGCTGTCGGATCATCCTCATCAGTTCTCTGCCCAAAGTCATGTTGGACTAACAGTCACAACAGGCAGGTCAAGAAGGCAGGTCCCAAATCTACCCAAACCGGAACAGAAATCAACCCCTATGCTGTTGGCACTAATCTGCAGCACACTGGCCATCCAGCCAACTGTCCCTCACCCAGGGAGTCTGAGTTGCTGTGGCACTTTTACATGCACGTTCTAATCTGGAGCCTTACATAGTGGTAGTAGAGACACCTATGCCTTCCCATCATGTGTCTGACCAGGAAACACTCCCAATTTTCCCACCTACCATTGACGTGTTGGGAAGATTTACAAACTGGTACTCTACCTGCTGAGCCAGATCATGAGCCACCTTCTGTGGCTGTCAGATCCTGGAGTGGGACTTGAACTCCGAGCTTCTTCCTCCAAGGCAGGGACTGTACCCCACTGTGCCAAAAAAAACTCCTTGATTTAGAATATTAAAGGAAAAGGGGCCTAGATTGGCCAGGAAACTCGGGAGCTCTCTGCTCTTGCAGGGTCCATCATGTCCACCCAAGGACAGACCAGGCCCTGATTTAACCTGAGAGACTGTATTCCTGCCAATGCGGTTTTCCACTAGAATTTTTCACACAGATGCTGCACTAAATTTCTGCAGTAAAATTTGGAGCCCATGTCACAGGCAAGGGTGCTGTGCACTCAGCTTCAACTAATGTTCCTTCTAAGGTTTTAGAGTAGATTTGTAGCTCGAGTTGTGGTTGTTGTGGTTGGTTGAACCAGCTCGGCGAGCCAACCAACCATAATACTCCCTTCACCACTCCTTAGTTCGCGCCACATTCCCCACCAACCAATCCAACCCACCCGGTACCTGCATCTCCTCCAACCTAGTCTACTGCATCAAAAACACAGTTGCTGGAAAAGCTCAGCAGGTCTGGCAGCATCTGTGAAGGAGAAAACAGAGTAAACGTTTCGGGTCTGGTGACCCTTCCTCAGAACTACTGCATCCAGTGCTCCCCATTTGGTCTTCTCTACATCGGTGAGACCAAACATAGACTCGGTGACCATTTTGCCAAGCATCTTCACCTGGCCCGAAACGGCCAGCCTAACCTCCTGATCATCGCCCATTTCAACTCCGCTAACCCCCCCCAACCCTGCCCCTACTGTCCCTCTGACATGTCCATCCTCCGCCTCCTCCGGTATCTCAGTGAATCAGACCGCAAATTGAGGAACAACACTTTATCTTCTGCCTGGGCATCCCACAGCCTGGAGGACTTAACATTAAGTTCTCTAATTTCACATAACCTTTCCATCTGTCCCCCAGCTCTCTTTCCACCTACCGCCTCCTCCCTTCCATTCCAGCTTCCAGCCGGACTCATCCTTTCCATCGATCAATCAGGTCATACCTACTAATGGTGTCCATCTATCACCATTCTGATACACTCCCCCCCCCCCATCTTATCTGCAGATCCCCCCTATCCCACATCCAGTCCTGAAGAAGGGTAATACCCAAAACGTTGACTTCTCCTTCTCCAGATGTGGCCTGGCTTGCTGTGTTTTTCCAGCATCCTGTTTATCTACCTTAGATCCCAGCATCTGCAGTCTCTATTCAACTAATAGGAGTTAGGAGGTCAGGTTGTGGCTGTACACAATGTTGATTAGGCCACTTTTGGAATACTGTATTTAATTCTGGTCTCCCTGCTACAGAAAGATGTTATTAAACTTGAGAGGGTGCAGGAGAGATTTAAAAGGATGTTGCAGGGGTTGGAGAGTTTGAGCAAAGGAGAGACTGAATAGGCTGGGGCTGGTTTCCCTGGAGCGTTGAGGCTGAGGGGTGACCTTATACACGTTTACAAAATCATGAGGGGTATGGATAGGGTGAATTTTTCATAGAGGAAGGGAGTCCAAAACTAGAGGTCATAGGTTCAAGGTGAGAGGGGAAAGATTTAATAGGGAACTAAGGGGCAACTTTTTCACAGAGGGTGATGCATGTATGACATGAGCATTTAAACGGCATCTGGATGGAAACATGAATAGGAAGGGTATAGAGGGATATGGGCTGGATGCTGGCAAATGAGAGTAGGTTTATCCAGGATATCTAGTCAGCATGGACAAGTTGGACCAAAGGATCTGTTTTTGTGCTCTACAACTTTGTGACTCTATAATGCCCATCATAACCTCTCTCACAACCAGGGAATGATCCATCAGCCCAAACAAATGAGTATTGGTTATAGTATTTGCGTAATCACCAATAGGTATTTATCCAGGGTACCCGATGCGGAAAGTGTTTTCATGTTTAGCCAAGGGGTTCATAGAACATTCATATCTTTCTGTCTTCTGTAGGCAATGAACTCTGTCTTCAAAACTGTGTTAGACCTGACCTACCCCATCACCTCTATGCTGTCGGGTTCTGCCTTTAACACAAGCATTGCTGATGTGTTTGAAGACAAACAAATTGAGGTAAGCTTTAAAACAAAACTGCTTCCCGCCTGCAACCAAACAAAAACAACCCTTGGTGAATGCACTTGACAAGGAACACTGTGCTCTCACACAAACCTTTCAAGGAGTCATGTTCACATGGCTTGTTACAGGTCAAAGGGACAAGGCCAAATGGATGACTCAGTTCAATGCCAATTGATTGATACAGAACTGATTAATCATCCCTAATGGTTCCACTTAAGAGACCCACAGTGGTGGAATGCACCTTGGCCTTTGTAAACCACTCAAAATACTCCTTGATGTTGAATGTCTATCTATTAGGGCTAATCTTTACTGCTGAGACTGGATGAGACCAAGACTAGGGGACACGATTTTAAAATAAGGTATGTCCTATTTAAAACAAAAATGAGAATCTTTTTCTGAGATTCACTGATCCGAGGAGCTCTCTCTTGCCTAGAGAGTTGTTGGAGGCAGGGTCATTGAAGGCTGAGTTACAGTGATAATTTACATACAGAGGATCCGTGGTGTATGGGAGATAAGTGAGTCAGTTTGAGGCCACAGTCTGAGCTAGTCTGATCTTATCAAATGGCAGAGCAGTTGCAAGGGCCCTATTCCTGCGTCTAGTTCATATGAGAAGACTACTTCACCTGTGCTTTTGGCTTCACATTAATGAGTTCTACAAGTTTTTGTTAGCACAGTAGCATCTGTGATGTTAGACATTTGAACCAAGCTGTATCTTTGCAATGGTCGCATTTTGGATTGGTAACAATTTGCTGCCACCAATGACACACAGTAGTATCAGTGTGCACCATCTACAAGATGCACTGCAGAAATTGACCAAAGATCCTTAGACAGCCCTTCCAAACCTACAACCACTACCATCTAGAAAGACAAAGGCAGCAGATACATAGGAACACCACCACCTGCAAGTTCCCGTCCCTGCGCTCACCATCCTGACTTGGAAATATATAAGCAAAATATCAAAGGGTCATAGAACTGATGTGAATGTGTTGAACAAACCTAAGACAATGCATTTTAAGTGTGAGGCTTTGTTCAACATATTTACGTCAGTTCTATGACTCTTTGACCTTAAATTCTGTGTCTGATGCCACCTGACACCTGAAGAAGGAGCGAGACTCTGAAATCTTGTGTCTTCAAATAATCCTGTTGGACTATAACCTGATGTCATGTGATTTTTGACCTTGTCCATCCCATCAAGGAAATATATAACCATTCTTTCACTGTAGCTATGCCAAATACCTGGAACTCCCTCCCTAATTGCATCGTGGGTCTACCTTCACCACAGTCAAGAAGGCAGCTCACCACCACCTCCTCGAGGGCAACTAGGGATGGGGAGTAAGGGCTTGCTGAGCCAGCGATGCCTGCATCTCATAAATGAATAACATAAAAAGTAGGTCAAACAGTTTTTCTGCGAAAACATATGACTTCAGTTAACTGACTCTCCAACCATCTGGAGAGAGAATTGCTCAAGTGTTTACAAAGTTGAGCTTTTACCACCAACAGTAAAACAGGTGGCCAGCAGCCTCAAGTAGGCTGAATTGAAAAGTAAAGATTGATTCCAGCAAAAGTGTTCAGTTTTTAGGAGCCTCCAGGCCAACAAGGCTGGAAATAAGTCTTCACAGTCTCAAAGTATTCAAAGTCTGAAAGAAGTCAGTGAGTGAAACTGTGTGGGACGGACAGAGAGAATCTGGCGAAAGGAAACCCTTTTAACCTTGTCAGTTGACTAAGAAATTATAGACTAAAGATAGGAATGATACTTTACTGGAATTGAGAGTTTAAACAATATTGTTAGGTTTATTGCTCGTTATGGTGAGACTTTGCAAATGATTTTTTATATAAGTGGACAGCTTTGTTTTCTTCTGTGTAATGAACACATGTTCCTTTGTAACAAGTTAGTGGCAGCCTGATGTAAATAAGTTCAGTAAATTACCACCACAGTAACCAAATTGCTGCATTAAAACTTAAAGTCTGTCAATCCAGGTTTTGGTCTGAAATATGTCAATACTGGACAAGCCCTCAGTTGGGAATCATTAAAAGTTTGCTACTGGAAAGTGCTATAACCACAGCTGTTCACAGATCATAACTCTTTTTTATCTCCCCCCACCTCAGGACCTGTGGATCCCATATTTCAATGTAACAACTGATATCACCGCATCTGCGATGCGAGTGCACAAAGATGGTAAGATTGTCTGTTTGCTGTGGGTCTATGGCTTGTTCTATGTGTAAGGGATTTATACCCTGTCTGAGTACCCTGTCTTCTGCCAACAAGGTGTTTGTAGTCCCTTTTTGTCTTTGTCCAATAGGAAATAGTTTTCCTTCTCCTCCCATGAATTGATGGTCACTTATCAAACCGCTTGGAGTGTTTTAATCCTTTAGTAGGTTGAAGAAAGGTTTTCGCAGCAGTGGATGACATTCTATTGTGCAGTTATTCTGTTAGCATCTGAAAGTCTACCTTCAATTTTCCAATCTGAACATTGCACAGTTGAATAAGTCTTCATGGATTCATGAAGGAAGGCTGGAGCCTGACCATTTTTGTCGGCGTATCACACAACACTTTAAACAAAAAAAAGCAGCATTCATAAAAAAGCGGAGTAGATTTAAAATTTTGAGCCTGTACATTGGAACCTTTAAGAATTCTAGGTTGGGATTGGTTGTTTTGTGTAGCTTTCGGTGCAGTTTCCTCCAGTGACTTTCCTCAAATGTTCAATCACAAACCAATTAATTCTGCCACCAAATTTTATTCAATGTCGTGCATTATGCTGCAGCTCAGTTTCAAACCCAGTTGGGTATGTTCGCTTGGCAGAGGCACAGTAGTCAGCACAGGATTTTCATTGCAAGCCAGTATTTGCTTTGGATGTACTACCTGTTTGGTATGCTGTAGCATTTGACCCTTTAACCATTTAAGTTACTAAGCGTACCTTTCAGCAATATAATCTTGTAACTATCAAAACCCTGTGCGAGTGATTCTGCTAATGCTGGTGTGTTAGGGTATTTAGAGCTGCCTCCAAGTGTGAGCTGGATTGGATGCAAATTAAAGCCTGAAAGTTAGTTCAAATTTTGAGCTTGAAGAAGTGCATGCTTTATTATAGTCGATTAATCAACTGGGCTAGAACTTGATCAGCTAGAGAAGGGCAGGCATTGGGATGCAGGAATGATACGTGAGATATGGTGGCAGCAACAGCAGGTGGGAATGGTAATTTTGTGGGTGTTCAAATAACAAGTGGAGAAAATCTGAATACTTTTGATCAGTGTTACAGGAATGCTTCCAAATCTGTTTGGCTGCTCTGCGTCATTCAGCAGAGATCTGTTTGGAGGGTGAGCTGTATAGGCATGACAATGCCAGCATTACCAGGATCACTAGTTTGTTTAGGCTTGCATGATCATTAAGTTATCTTTAAAGTGGAACACTCAGATGTATTGCCTTTTTTATTTCTGTGCATCTTCTGAACATTTGCTTCATCAAGAAAAGTAAATCATCATCTCTAATGAGTCTGCAAATGAATCAAAAGCCCTGTCACTGTTTAAGGGCAGTTGCATCTTGTGACAGGGGATAATGAAAGGAGAAGCCCAGTTGATCTGAATGGCCGTGCCTAGCGTGAAGCATGCCCGCTTTGCATTGCAAGTACCTGTGTGCTGTGGTTTGTGTGGGAACTGGCTCCAGGTGCTTAGTGTTGACAAGAATTCTGGCCATGTATCAACTGCAGTGTGGCTGTGGATTGGTTGTTCTGGAATACTGGCTGTGCCTATTTTAATTGGATTTTGTAGCCGCTTCACTGCAGGTCATCTGCAGATCTGAGAGAACATCAGGGCAGCTTGACGGCGTGCAGAGGTTGCTTGGCTCCTTTTTTCACCCTGTCCTATAGCAAAGATTTTGTCTTTGTCTCCACTCCCCAACCCCAGGCTCATCCCCCAACCCTCAGCCCGTCATTTTCAGTTACTGCTTTGGAGATTTACATCCCCAGATCCCAAACAGCCTGACCAGTTTCTGTTGGCATATCTCATACAAGTGTATTACAGACTAATACTCATACAAGTGTATTACAGTAGCCTATCTCTGTACTTGTTAAACTAAGCCAAAGAGGCAGAAGACACCAGCTAAAATGTGCAATCATCAGTACAAAATGTCAATTTAATTTGGGAAGAGTGGCACAGATTTTTAAAAATCATCTTCAGTGTTGAGAAGAAAGGTAATAGGTGACTAAAAGTTGAATTATTATCTGCAGTCTGCCTCATAATTGAAATTCTGAAGTTAAAGGAATATTGCTGAGTGTTCCCCTTTACTGATGATGTAGTGGTTTTATCATGAACTTCCATTGATTGAACTGAAGCAGATGGAGCCTTAACAACATGGAGAATCCATTCTGTTCTCTTCAAATTAGACACTTAACTGGTTAAAATCTTTATTGAATTTGGGGTGATTTTCTAAAGGTCTACTCCTGGGCTTTGTGGTGGAGGGGACACTTGCTGGCCTCCTTTGTTAAAACTCCGATCTGATTCTGTCACTGATACAAAGCTGAGCTGTACTGGGACATTGCTATCCACAACTCCTTTTTCTGCCCTTGAGAGTGGAGGTTGTACTGTGGTGTGTAACGTTCGTATGTGTCCTTTCCCATCTTTCCCTGCTTCCCAAAGCTTTGTTTCTGGCCCCTCATTGTGGTGGCATTGCTTCGTAACATTGTCAACGTCCACACACAATTCATAACTGCTTTTATTAATCCAAAGTTAATCTGAGGGTAACTTTTTCACACAGCGTTGTCTTGTCTCCATTCCTCCTCATTACTTAAATACTATGTTTAACCCTTTTGAGTGTCCACTTTCCTTGCATTGAATCAAATGTTTAGTTTAACCTGCCATTTACAGGCTCTGTAAAATTGCAGTGGTAAGTATTAGACAAGAAGAGTGAACAAACATAGTAAGATTTTAATTCACTTTCTATCTTAAAAAAATCATGTACTACCCTTTCCCTTTCCTGCCCTCCTCCCCTCCTTGGAATGTTTCACCATTCAGAGTTTGTGTATTGACTGGGTATATTGACAGGGCAGTTAATGGTCTCCCACTGGTCTCTGTAGTTTAGATTCTGGGTACATAGTGTTCTGGTTATCTTCCTTCAATCTCAAGAAAGCACATGCACAGAGAATGCTTGTAAATCAGAGGATAAAAGCTCCCAATCTTCCTTCGTTGTCCTGTAGATCTGATAAGTAGCCTGGAATGCTTTGTAAGCTTGCACATTTCCTCTGCCTGGGAGTTACATTCTGTACAGCTATACCACCCCAGTGTGAGACAGTTGTCCTTAGATTCCGCATCTGCATTTAATTTGAAGTGAAAGTTACCTTGCACTTAGGACTTGGCATCAAAAGTGCTGCCTTACTATTTTAAAGACTGCAATGGCAAACATAAAAAAATTCCACTGCAGCCTTCAACATTGGCAGCAACTAGTGAGTGGGCTGAATGAATTCTTCCAATATCTCTTCAATTTCTTTACAAAAGTCTACACCTTGTAGGTTTGCTCCTGCATAAGGAACAGTAGCTGACCTTTGGTTCCCCAGGCCCCTGCTTCCCTTTACCTCAGCAGAGTAAAAAGCTCATCCATTGCTTTGTGGTGTCAGACTGAGCTGTGGTGTTATCCTTTCATTGTTGTATGTCAAACAGGACATAGTTAATTATAAAACAATTCCCTCCAGCTTAATTATGAGCTTAATTTAGTAATGGTATTATTCTACATGAAAATTAGTTTGTACTTTGACATGCAGCATCATTAAGTTAGTATTACTACAGTTCATACTTGCATTGATATTATTGCCAAGCAGAACATAGTGTTGTAGCAACTTGCATCCATGAACAATTATTGATTGAAAATCAAATGGAATTGCACCAAGTCCCCTGAACGCAGCCTAGCTGCAAACTGAAAACTTGATTTAAATGGTAGACAACGGGATGGAATGTAGAGTGCCCGAGATCCAGGTCCATGATACCGTCGCTCAGGGTCAGGAGGTACCACAGATATCATGCTGCCATGTAGAGATATGCATCTGCAGTGGAAATCCCACACTACTTGGCAGGACTCGGACATTAATGCACTGATTGTTCTGAGGGATCATGGATTGTAAATTGCAGAGTTAAAGGAGGCGATGCTCTTGGATATTCTGCAGGAGATATGGGGCATAACTGCATCATAACTGCTGTGACAGGGAGAACAGAAGAATGATGACCTGATTCAGCACAGAACTTTGGAAATACATATACCCTGCCTCATAGCAGTGTGTTTAAGTGCACCCACAAAATGCCACAACTGTAGATCACCAGTGCAAGCTACTAAGTACCAGCCTAAACTGAAGAAAACAACAACATTTGTAGATTGGCTTGTGCTGTTCCTGTTGTTGAAGACTTCCAGTCAACACCGGAGATTGCGCGTAACTGAAGTAGGAGAAATTCACAAGTTAGAAATTATTTATTGCTTTTGCACTTTCTACTAAGTGCTCCATGGTGGCTTTGTTTCTGGTGAAAGATATTTTTCACATGCTTCCACTTTGAGCTTGCTCTCCGCTAAGGGTCTGCTACTCTGTCAGAAGTGCTGTGTTTTGGATGAGATGTTAAGTTGAGGACCCATCTGTCCTCTCAGCTGGAATCATGTTCTCCTGGTTCTCAATTAATTATCCTTCAACCAACATCCACCAAATTACCCAATCTGGTTATTTAGCTCATCTTTGTTTGTGGGATCCTGCTGGGCACAGATCGCATGTTGTATTTCCCCATTCTACAATTGGGGTATTTTGCATCAAGTTCCTGGATCTCCTTCCCCAACGTCATTGCAGGTATACCTACTCCAAATGGCCTGCAGCAGTTCAGCAAGGCAGATCCCTCCACTTTCTCGTTGTAAAATAAATGCTGGCCTAGCCAACAATGCCACATCCAATGAATGAATGAAACAAAAACAGCAGTTACTTAGTGTAATGTCCTGAGAATGAGAGAAATGCTATCCATATACAGCCTTGGCAGTGCTTTTCATATTGTTTATTTTGTCAACTTTTCTCAATTCAAAATACCAAAGGCAGTTATTTCAGTTCTCATTAGTACTCAGTCGTGGAGATATACAGCACAGAAGAAGGATCTTCCGCTCATCAAGTCCATGCCAGTCAATAACAACCACCTATTTGTTCTAATCCCATCTTCCAGTACTTG